AATTAATATGATAACAAAATGGAACTACCTAGAGATTTCTCGTGTCACTCTGTTTCTTAATTCATGCCTGAAGCTTAGCTTGCTGAACTATCCACAAACAGCAGAGACCAAGTTGTCTTTTACTTTGAAATGCGATCCACAGTAGAAAAAAAAAACATTTTCACCCAAAAAAAAGACGTCATGTGTACTCGCATGTGTACTACGAGTATGATACTTGGGGAGTGAAAAATTGAAATGAAAAAGAAAATGAAAATGAGAGAATCAAATCATAGTTTTTTTTTCTTTTCAATTTAGATTTAAATCTTAAAATAAATTAACAAAAAACAAAGGCTAGAAAAGCAAATTATGCAACGATTGATTGTAACTATTTTTACAAGCTAAACTATATTTTTTAATTTTTTAAAAATTCCAATAACTATAATAATAAGTAAATTCTTTTTAAATATAATTAAAAATTAAACATGTTAAAAAATAAATAAAATTTTATCAAAAATCAACTAATTATTAGTCACATTAGAGATAAATTTAAGTTGAATTCTTTATCATTGTAAAAAAGATAAATCTAAATTAAATTTTTTATTATTATAAAAAAAACAAATTCAAGTTAAACTTTTTATTATTATAAAGAAAATAAATTTCGTCATCCTAAATTTGAATGACCATAAAGTTGTTTGCTTAATCATTAATAAAAAACTCTTTTTAAATCCTATAAATAAAAGATGTTATAGAGTATGAAGTTTTATGATAAAATAACTCATTATTTAATCTTTGTTATACAAAATTTATTTTAGAAAGAAATTTTAATGAGTTTTTTTATTATTTAATTGTGTAATTTGTTATTAACAAAGTTAAAGCTCTTGAGTGTATTTGTCTTCTTTAAAGTAATCATTCAATTATTCTTTAACTGTATGTTATCTGTATCGAAAGATAATATTTCGAACATTGTTGGTTATCAGTAGTAAAATAATGAGTCCCGTAACTTATTGTCCTTGAAGGAAAAAGTTGTACTATCCTAGAAAACCTGTCGTACCGTTTGTATTAAAAATACGTAGTTTTAATTAAAAACAATTGAAATACTGAAACAATTGGAGACACCTAATAATTCTCCATTAAACGAGACATAGACAGTTCATTTAAGACAAATATGAAGCATGATATTTTGCATCGCGTCGCGTATCCCATGCCTATGTGGCTAGGGCTCATAGCTCAAACCTTTATCAGTTATCGGTATTTTTAATGTTGTTTATTAATTATAATTATTTTATTTTACTAATTTATAATAATATTAAATATAATTCTTTATGAAAATAAAATTTTATTTTGAATCAATAAATAATATCAAAAATATTTCAAAAAATTGTATCTAATTTGTTTTCTTTTCTCATTTAATGCAGGTTACAATTTCAAGGATGTGACAAGTTTTGTAATAATAAGATCTTCATTTTATTTTGTTATGTTACATTTGTGATCATCAGCTAGTTCAAATACAGGGAAAAACAAACAAGCACAACTTACCATTTTTATAGTAAGATAAGATTCAACTTCATCTCACTTTTGATCGATATATATTCATCATATGTATTTTTATCTTATACTAAAAGTTATCTTTACAACAAGTTTAATTTTTTTAAATATTAAAAGAGTATAATTTTTTATATTAGTATAAGTTTAAAAACTCTTATATTTAATTTAAATTTTTCATTTAACTTATATCTAACGAATTATAATTTATTACTCTACTAACTGTTAAATTTAAATTAAATAAAAGACTCAAATTAAATATAATTTTTTTTAAATTTATACCTCTTTTTTCAATATTAAAATTACCTATTGTTAAGTTTTGTGCTAAGCCTCTTGCATGCATCATAGGAAAAAAGCTCTGTTATTGAGACACAAGTACTGGTTATGCATTTCACTTATATATAACTCAACTTGCATACTTTTACTATGTAAATTTTTTTCGCACACAATATTTATAGTAGCACAAAAGCAATTTTTTCTTTTTAACTTGTATCACCATTAGCTGCTATCAGCAATAGACATGCTGCTTGACCTGTACATGACTAGAAACACTTTTAATATAAAGATATTTCGCATAGATTCTCACATGTCCAATATGCTTATTTGTAATAAAAATTATCACATCACATTCTTTTATTATATCTACCAAATAAACTCTTAATTTATAGATATTAGTTGACAATATATATATAATATAAAATTACTTGTATATAGTTACTTAATAATTTCAGCTCTCAATGTTATTGATTCATGATAATAAAAATATGCTAAAATCCTTAATGAGATTGAAGGATTATCAATTCGTGGTCACACATAGAACTCCTGTTATGGGCAAGTGTAGTAAATTAACATTTTGCTAATCCCTGACGCTATTCATTTGATAATTGTGTCATTGTCTACCAAGTGTAACGCTCATGAAAAAATATGTTCTATCTACCGTAACACTTTAATCCTATCATTGAGTCGATCTTGCCTCATTCCATTTATTCCAACAATAATAAACAGTTTAAATTTAAAAGTGTCTAACACCAATCATTTACTCAAGGATGGCGATTGACTATACCCAATTAGTATTCGCAAAAGATACAATGCTTACTACATGCTCATAAATTTGAAAAAATATTTAATTTTTGTTTTAAATTAATGAATGTAATTCTTCTGATATCTTAAAAATTAAATAATATTTATACTTTTTTCCAATAAATTACTAACTCTACTATCAATTAGTATAAAATTAATAGTCATCATTATTTTACGCACACAGAAGGCAATAAAATATATTCTTAATTTACAAAGCATCATAAAAATTATCAAAAGATATTTATGATGAGAAGAAAAATAATCTTTTAATATGTAATTTTGAATTCAAATATGAAATGTGCGTGTGATTCACAAGTATGAGCGCTCAGCAAAGATGACATTTTGAGTAGCACTCATCATTCATGACTAGAAAATAAATTAACTTAACTATATTGAACCTTAGAAAAAAAAGGTATCTGGGGAAATAGTGAACCATGAAAGCACTATTTGGGGAAGACTGAAGAGTGAAGAACGCAAAGTGACAAGCAAATATAAAGGGAAAACTTCCTTGGTTCCAGCGAGGGCCCAAATTGTTTTGTAAATGAAGGCCTATTAAGCCTTTCTTCCTTCGGCTTCAAATCACAAAGGGCCTATTATTTTCAACATATGGATTTCAAATCCAAGAGATCTACCAAATTGGACCAAAAATAAAATATGTAAACAGTGGCACAGTGTGGTGGCCGATGCTCACACTGAAGCATGTAAAAACCCAACAATGGATAGCCTTTTTCATATAAAAAACAAAATGGAACATTCTCTTAGTCTTTATTATAAGAAATAAATAATAAATTTCAGAGATATTAGTTATTAATTTTTTTTTATATTTTTCTTTTATTAGTATAATTAAATATAAAAATTACTAACTACACTATTTAATATCATGAATATTTTTAGAATAAAATTTATATTTATAAAAAATATAATAGACTTAATTATTATTTTTTGTCCTAATAATTTAGTCTTTTGTTTCTTATAAAAAAAATTAAAGAGAGTATTTGGATAGCACATAAAATCAAAGCTATGTATATTCCAAAGTAAAATTTGTTGCTTGAAAATAAGTTGAGTATGTATCTTAATTTCATTTAACAATTTTAAATTATAAATTAAACGGATACTTAGCGCATGTTTGGAAAAGTAATCAACCTACGACTTGTAAGAAGTGAAAAAATTTTACTTTGACAAAAATTACTTTGAAAAGTGTTTCTTCATTGAAATGGGAAGACAAACGTACCTTTAACAGACAAAAATTATAATATATGGTCTTGCGATTAATTATATTTTTGAATTTATTTTTCTTATTCTCCTGATTCGTTCTTTATTCAATCATACTCCCTTTGGTTTGTTTAAATAATCAAGAATTTGATTAGTCTAATACTTACCAACAATCTTTGTGATGCGGTATTTTAGAATCTGTTACCACTTTATTATGAGTTGACTAGTGCCCTTGCTTAACAACAGTAAATGAAATCAATACAAACAAGTACTAAACCTGAGTTACTTTATATAGAAAATGTATTCAGTGAGAAGAGTTATTTATTTTTTTTTGAAAATGAAAGGAGTAAATTTAAACCTTGCAATCATATATAAATAATTAAAATTAAAAGAATTAATAAAATATATAAATACCTAAAAATGTTACGTGATTAAAAAAAAACTTACATAATTAGTGTGTTTTAATGTTGAACATTTATAATAAAATGTAATAATTAAGATGCAAAGTATGCGTGGCTCATCAAATCGCACATTAGACTGCCTTTTTCCTAACCAACATACCAAATATTAATAAGGAAAGAAAGTAGTACTTTCCCCTTTTTGTTTCCTTTCCACTAAAAAATACCATATGATTATGCGAATCAGACTCCTATTATTGAAGAATTCACGGGCTAGTGACACCGGCCACTGCATTATCTGACAAACACCCTACAGGAAACTTACTTGAAACCTGGTCTCTGTCTTGTTGCTTGTGGAGTTGTGGTCCATATCTCATAAGCTATTCCTTTCAATTATTTGATTTTACAATGGCAATACCCATGCAAGAGCATCGATAATGGTAAGCAAAAGACACAATTGCTTTTAATACACAAACAATTAAATCAAGTTTTAATGTAGAAGTTATAATTAATAATGTTAAAATGGATTTATGGTTAAGTAAATTTAACTTCAATTCAAAAGCTCAAACGTACCAAAAATAAATAACCTTAAACATTTATGTAAGCAAAATTCCCTTGAATTATGTTTTACAAGATAGGAAGTGGCTTGTCAAAAGGGAAAAAAACAGGCCTAAAATCCACTTCCCACCCACTGAAGCTATTTGTGCAGAACTAATTCTGTTTCAAAGAAGAGGATTGTTTGCAACCTACAACGATACTATTTAAGACAGGATTGCAAAAGTACAAATAACAGAAGTCTCATTCAATGGAAACATCACTACATATGATTAAAAATCATGAACAGCAAAATAAATATAATTTCATTTCATCCCTCAGAAGATCTTCAAGGACCCAATAGGCAACAGGTTATTTAACATATAAACAAAAAGTTTGGACAAACACAAGCAAACCGATCATAACCCATCAATGATTAATCTACAATTCTCCTCATGAACACCAATCAATTTAGATTTGTAAAAGCAGAAATTGAACTGCAAGTAGCAATTAAACCACTACCAGCCATAAACCACTTGCGAGTACTTATTCTTAAGCCACCTGAAGCTCTTTCGGAATGACCCTTTGATCTTCCCTTCCACAGAATACATTTTATAGCTGGCAACCCTCTTTTTCCTCTGAAGCTCAGGATCAGCGATGCTCCAAGACTTGGAGAAAGAAGACCCTGCTGAAATGCTTTTTCCTTTCTTCAACTTCAAGTCCTTAGGACCCATTTGAGTTTGTGAATAGGAATAGGAAGCACTATAACTCCTGAGATCATAAGGCCTGGGAGCTCCATAGTAACTTTCAATCTGCATCATTTGCCCATTTGCATAAGACCTTGATCTTCGAAAGTCCTCCATGAGAGATGAATTGGGCAGGGAGAAAGAAGATTGAAAGTGGGTTATCTGTCTTAAAGTCTTGAGCTTTTTAATTTTATTAGAAATATGATCAAAAAATGAGGGACAGTGGTGATGTGGGGTCCAACAAAGACCACAAGAGCTTCGGTCTCCGATGGCTTTGGCTGGCTTTGTTTTACTTTCAAAATAATTAAATTCCATCCACTGTTACTGACTTTGAGAATTTGATGTAATATATGTATATTATTCATCTTTAGATGGCGTGTTTAGTGGGGAATCATAATTGTCTAATGTTTACGCTTTTAAAATTCTTGAGGATTTTTTTTGCTTTTGACCCAGACAAAGGATTCCCCGTAGGACAATTCATGTGATACCAATTTTGATCCCTTTTCACTGGCCAATTTTCAAGAATCAATGTTCCAACTTCGTACGGAAAAACTGTTTAATATTTTTAGTAGATAATGGAAATTTTAAGATATAAATATATTTAAATTTAGATGTCGATAATCAGCGAAAATTAAAAAAAATAAATTTAGATTTAACGTACTACCTCAAATTTATGAGATACTATTAAAACAGATTTTTTTTCATCAGAAGCCCTCAAATTTTAAAATTGATGTTAAACTTAAGTTCATTTGAATTAGTTAAATAGACTTGTTTAAGGGAATAGAAGTTTTCTAACACTTTTTTAATTTTCTATTCATTAAAGTCAGAGTAAAAAACCTTGTTTAGGATTAATTGAATTGTTTACTACTTAAATCAACGTGAACCAGTGTTATTAAAGTGATACTCAAATGCTTATGGGGAAAATTTTACATTTACGGAATTTGTGTACCATTCTTATTAATTATTGTAAAATTTTTGCATAGCCTTAATTTTATGAGCTGTTTGAATATACTAAACCTGCAACAAATATCTCACAATATTTTCATTTAAAAAAATATATACTGCTTGCTTTGGAAATGTCAAATATTCATTAGACGGTACTCTATTATTTTTAAAAATTTTGTTCCCATCAATATCAATATCTATTATTATGCTTTCTGAATGGCAATACCATGTTACATAACTTAAATTTATATTTATAATTTTATTTTATTTTTAGATTTTTTATTATTTTTTAGTTATTTAAATAAATTAAACTTATTATAAATAAATATTTTATCTAAAATTAAATTTTATGAAATCCACCTAAATTGAGCCCTATATTATAAAATTCTTAACAAAACTTAATAATAGTATATTAAATAATTTGTAATCAATATCTTAAAACACTTATTAACACGACTTTAGTTATTTTTTAACATAACGATTAATATTTAATAACTTTTTATATATTGTCCCAATTTACGTTTCAGCTAGCTCCATGGGGGTTGACTTAAGACTAGGCAAGCCCGCTTTGATTTTTTTTGTTTTCTGTATTATTATTATTATTATTATTATTGTTGTTGTTGGTTATGTTTCTTTAAGCTTTTGACCTTTAAGTTTGTGGTCAAAGTAAAACAACATTAATTTAAAATTTTAATTTTAAATTAAAAACATGAAAATTCAAATTTTTTTATATTTTTTTCGAAAAATAAAAAATGGACTCATAGGTTGTCTATTTAACCAGCAGTTTACGTGTAGTAAACAGGCTAACAAAATCCTTTCTTACAGTTGAGTTGACTCAACTTATTGTAACTCAAAACATGGTATTAGCCCGCATTAAACCAAATTAAACGGGTCAAGTTTATCTAATTTGACAACTCAATTATTTATCAGCATCTTTCTATTTTTTATTAGTCCATCAAAAAAAATTATTTGTCTTTATGATAATATATTAGATGATAATTTAATGTAATAAATATTAAGAATAATTACAAAATTGAAGGAAAGATATTTAAATCAACAGTATAAAATATTATCTATAAATTTGATTTTGTTTTGTAACGTCATCTCTTCTAATATTATATTTCTCATTATGCTGTGTAAATTTATTATTTTTTAGTAAATATTTATTTTATATGTTTATTTAAAATAAAACAGTAAATTTTTCAATTGTATTAACTTTTCTCTTTTCTTTTATATTTAATTTTTAATTTTTTAAATTGAGATTTCTCTTTTTATCTCTAAATTTATTCATTTATATTCTTGAGTATTTTTATTTTTATTTTTAAACATTCCCTATTTAAGTTACTGACATTTGAAACTTATTTATCTGAATTAATCGTTTATATCGATCTTATTATTTTAATTTTTTAATTTTATTTTTTACTATTTCACTTAAATTAAAAAAGACGAATATCAATAGTACCATTAACGTTTTGGTTAAGTAAACAATCTTGAAAAAAAATTAAAAATATCATTAAAAAATCATAATTCTTTACTACTCATTTGTTAAGTAATTTAGAATATTTAAAAAATATATTAATATTTTTTAATAAGTCTTGTTAGGACATTCATTAACAAATTTTTATTTTTTTTTTGGCTAGATTCATTAACAATATTCACTGCGTACCCAACAAACTTAATACTAATTAACCTTAATTTACTTAAATTTCGATAAAACACTGACTACAACACTTGTTTGATTTACAATAGAGCCTGTAAAGCACGTGTGGTTTAGATTTTAGCAAAGCCGACATAATCATTTTTAAGTGTCAATTGTCAAACATGCTTTCGATCTATATTTCAATCATAAATTATTGAATTTAATAACCTCCAAAGTATCTCTTCACAAAGTATTTTAAATGTTAGGACATATGACGAGTACATTAAAGATATTATTTAATAAATTTTTATTTATTAAATGTTAATTTTTTTTAAGTATTAGTGTTAAATATTTTATGCATACTTTATTTAAACAATTTTTGCATTCAGGTATTGATTGGTATTTGTTATTTTTTCCCCAATCCAAAAGCTTCATTTAAAAAATAATACTCTTTGGGTCCTCTATCTATTTTTAAAAAATTATAACTGATACAGAATAATTATATCCACCCCTGTATAAATAAAATAAAATATAATTCGTTATGTCAATAGTGATTTTTAATTTTATTATTTCATTTCACTTTACAAAATAAAATGCGCATACACTTTAAATTTATATTAATATATTAATTTATATATGTTATTTAAAAAATATTAATTTTAAATATATTTATTTAAAATATAAATTTATATCCTCTCTTCTTTTTCTCTCCAAATATTATTTTTCCAAACAACTCCTGAGGACTGAACTTTTATGTTAGTATCAAATGAGAAATTGAAGTCCAATTGTTGTAAATGGGGGACCACTCTGCCAGGGCATGTGCACAGTGCATTCACCAAATAAGGAAGAAATAAATGTGATTATGATTGTGTTATTTGGTAATATATATCAGAACATTCTGTATGTTCTAAATTGCTCATGCCATGGCTTTAGTCTTCGCCAACGTATCTAACTTGTAAACCGTGTACGACAAGTCACTACCCGTAGTATGAGTGGTTTAGCGGATAGTTGACCCAGTAAACGATAACCATTGATACAGTACCACAAATCCGTGACAAGAAATCTCTCAGAAAAACTAGATGTAACCTGACGCATGCAAACGTGTCTAAAGAAAAAGTAAAACAAATTTTTGGTTTAAATTTTTTCTGAAAATTCATTAAATTTTACTTTTAGTATCCATAACTGCTTTAAAGTTTTAATCTTTATATTTTTAAAAATTATTAATTTTAGTTTCTTATTAATGTGAAATGGCTACGTAGCTTAGATATTACTATAGGTCAAATTTTATTTTGTATGTCACTTTTCTGTGAGATCGTGATGGTGAAAAGGATCAAAATCAATAAATTTTCTAAAATGCAAAGATTAAAGTAAAAAATAAATAAAAATTTAAAGAGATGAAAATAAAAATTCAGTATTTCTTTGAAGGACAAAAACATATTTAATCCATTATTTTTAAAGTAAACAAGCAAATGGGTATTTATTTATAAATTTAATGGATGAAAATAACAATATATTTAAAATTAAATAAAAGATAAAGACATCTTTGCATGTTCACGCACAAATTCACTTTGATGAACCTTGTGCCAATATCTTGGTCACAAAGATGGAATTTGAGTAGACTGTGACTTAGAACAGCTTCCATATGTAAATTAGGAGCAAACATCATGACAGGTACACGGGTCAGTTCAACGGGGTGACAACGAGAGCAAGTCCAGTACATTTCCAACGCAACGTCAAAAAAGTTTTAAATTTACATAGCCACCCTCACACACTTAAAACAAAACATAGAGAATGCGGCAATCTACAATCTTTAGCAAGACAGACACAAACAAACTAGTTCACAAAATTGCAACAATGCATTCTGATAGGACCCAAAATTAGAGAAGAATGCCCATTTCAAGAAATCCACTAATTTTGGGCAAAGTTCAACTCTTGCTGGAGAAAGGCAGGGGCCATGAAAAATAAAATGATTGACTGTGGCCTCGATAAACAAAACATTACCAATGAAGCAGAAACCAAATCAAATGAGATCAGCTACATTGGCTGGCAGCTCCTCAACCACCACATTATAAAACTTTTGGATGTCATACAACATCCTTTCATCATCTTTGGTCACAAAATTGATAGCAACACCCTTTCTCCCAAATCGACCACTACGACCAATTCGATGAAGATAGTTCTCCGGCTGAGTTGGCAGATCATAATTAATAACAAGTGAGACTTGCTGGACATCAATACCCCGGGCCAAAAGATCCGTAGTAATAAGAACACGGGAGGATCCAGAACGGAATTCTCGCATAATGATATCCCTTGTGTTTTGATCCATATCTCCATGGGTGGCTGAAACTGTGTGATCACGACTCCGCATTTTGTCTGTCAGCCAATCTACCTTGCGCCTGGTGTTCACAAAGATAACACTCTGGGTGATTGCCAAAGTTTCATAAAGATCACACAGTGTCTCAAGCTTCCATTCCTCCTTATCGACATTGACAAAAAATTGCTTGATCCCCTCCAACGTAAGCTCATCACGTTTTACCAGAATCCTCACTGGTTTGTTCATAAACTTCCTTGTGATCTCTAGAGCTTCAGGAGGCATTGTGGCAGAGAAAACCCCAACCTGGATCTCAGGTGGCAAGAGCTGAAAAATATCATAGATCTGGAAGGAAGTACAACAGAAATCGCAAAATTCAGAAGGATAAACTCTACAAACCAAAAGGCAGATAAAGTTGTAGGTATTTGTATTCTTATAACACATGCACATGCTACCAACATCCAGACAACAAACCAAAACATCTCATTTTCAAAATGGCAAACAGTAAGTATTTAAATCTTCCTCCCCATAAGAAAATAAGAAACTAGCCCTTAGTGAAGGAGAATTCGTTAAACTTCTTGTCTCAAAAATAGCTCCATATGCAATTTTTCCAAATTTCATAGAGATAAAAGAAAAGGAAAACAAAGAGACTGAATAAGGGATTGCTGTTACTCCAATTCTTTCAGCGTCAAAATCCATTCAAACATGCATTTACATTTTTAAAAGGCAATATATTGTTATCTAGTATACCAAACTGTACTGTTTGACAAGTAACAACAATTAACAAGGTTATTGGCAGCCACTATAGCTCATTATCTATAAACGTGGTGAAAATTCAAATAGAACACTCAATAATACTTTTAAGCCAAAATCTTATTCTGCAACAACAAATCGAAAACATAAAGAAACAAATTACAGAGAGCAAAATGGGAAAATGAGAGGACCTGATCTTTGAAACCTCGAGAGAGCATCTCATCTGCCTCATCCAATACAAACATCCTAATGTTATCAGGGCGCAAAGATTGCCTACGCAGCATGTCAAATACACGACCAGGAGTTCCAACGACAACATGAACCCCACTTGAGAGAATGCGTAGATCTTCACGAACAATGGTACCGCCAACACAGGCATGAACCTTGACACCAAGATAGTCACCAAGTGCTCGCATTACCTTCTCAATTTGTTGTGCAAGTTCACGAGTTGGAGCAAGAACCAGTGCCTGGCACTGAACTAAGCTGTAATCAAGCTGCTGCAAAATTCCAGAGCAAAACGTAGCAGTCTTTCCAGTTCCAGATTGTGCTTGCTGAATTACATCAAGTCCCTTGCAGAAAGGAACAATCCCCCTTTGCTGAATTGCAGAGGGCTTCTCAAAACCTACTCACAAGTAATACAACATCCTCACAAATGCTCAGTTATCAATGAAAAATAGTAATAATAATAATAAAATTCAAAGCAGAAAGTGCAGCAAGTATTCAAGGTTCTCATATGCATATAACTTGACAGTAAAATAATCTTAGATTTGATGCTAATATAAACAGCAGAAACTAAAGTTGTCAAAGAGAATTTTAAAATTTTTGTATATTCATACATTGATGTACATACCGTATGCATAAATACCCCTCAGAAGGTTCTCCTGCAATCCCATGGCATCAAAGCTTTCGAAAACTTCATCATAAGAAGTGAAAAACTCTTGCCCATCAGTTCCAAGTCTGTTTCCATCAGGGCATCAAACCAAGAATGAGCATATAACTCAAGGCATGGGTGCATCGCAGGTAGGCATTATGTATAAAATAATAAGATGGTAACAATAATAATAAGAAACAAAGAGCATATCTCAGTGACATAACATCTATCCAGCTAAGGAAAGGGGAAACCTACAGCTCATCCATCTTAGCATCATAGTTACGAGTATCAAATTGCGATCCTTCCGGTGCCAACCCAGCCATGATGATAGCAAACTGTAAAGGAAAAACACATATCAATTCATTTCACACCATACAGATCAAACTTGAGATGTAGATATTACATATATTTCCATTTGCCAACTATAGTTTAACTAATAAAAAAATGAATAATATGTTGCAGTGTACTAAACAAATAGTAACAAGCAAAACAATGAAGCAGATAATCAATGAGAAAAATTCGCCATAGTCATTGAGTTTCTTTTATGCACAAGACAAAACTGAAACAACCCAAATAGTTATATTAGCTTCAGTTACTTATCAGAGGGTTGATGTGAGTTCCGAAGTGAAAAAAACTAAAATTTTACGAACGGAGCTCATTCACTATAGTATAAAATATAAATCTATCAGTGCAAAACAGAGATAGCAATCTATATCGAAACAAGGTTAAGATAGAAGCTAAATAGCGAATTCAAACCTTCGAGGGAGAGAGTATAATTTCGAATTGTCAGATTATGAAAAGGAGTGGATTTGAGAGTGGCGATTGCAAGATTAGGGTTTCCGAAACTCGAAGGTTTAGGGCGGTGGCTGTGAGACGACGACGTGACAGAGAAGGCGCCGGAGAGTGACAGTAAGTGAAAGAGTATTGGAATGATTTTCCCTTTTCAATTCATTTCGATTATTTGTTTCCAATTTCTTTCTCGATTCTACCCCTGTCGTTCCGGCTTTATTGCAGCTTGATCCTCAAGTTACGATGTCGTGTCCAGTTACCCTTTCTGTGTTCGTGGAGTAACACTGCAATTTAATAATTAAAATTGTCAGCATCGATTACACCTTAACAAAAATTTTATTTTGCCTTTAAACTTTACTAAAAATCATTCCATTGAAACTGAGTATTTTGTATGAGCTTATAGTAACTTATCTTTTACAATTATGATTGAAACTTTATTTTTCTTTTTATTAATGTCTCATTGGGTAACAAAATTGAAAATTATTGAATGCAAGGGTCGTCTGTTAATTGTAAAGCCTTAGCTTTTTGTTGTCAAAGCTTGGTCCATTGCAAATGCCAAACTCAATGCATGCTTGCGTGGCATAGGGTTTAATATAATTTACTTTGTTTGAAAGAGTTATGCTTTTAATTAAAAATTTAAGATTTAGTTTAATTATTTTTAATTTATTATGTGTCTGTGTTTCATAAAATTAATTAGTTCAAAAGTTATCAGTTTTAATTATGTATTATTTTAATTATTTATAATAAAATTTAATAATATGATTAAATAATCCGTACTTTTATAATTTTTTAAGTATATGTCACAGAATTTTTAAATTTAATGATAAATTTTACAATGAAACTACTCAACAAAAAATGTTGATAAACCGAATAGAGTGACACCCAATCTTAATTAAAGGTTATAATTTGTCTTTTTTCGGCTTAAGAAAGAAGAAAGAGACAAGTTAAATAAATGGAAATTAAACTTTTCATTAGGTTTTTTGTCTTTTTTTTTAACGTGTTTAGTGTCATCCCTCTTCACAAGCCTCTGCTTTCCAAAGATTCTTTGTTGTGATCTAACTAAGTCACCGTCCAATATCAAACTGTATCCAACTCATTAAAACTGCTCGTCATAAACATTACTTTTATGATTATCAGATATATTTTTTAACGTAAAATATATATTTAATATTAAAAAACCATAACTTCTATTGTTTTAATTCAAAATAGTATAATATGATTCACGATTTTTTAAAAATAAAAAGTATATTATAAATTAGCATAAAACTTCTCAACCACCCCTTTTTTAAAAACAAAACTTATCATCAAATATTAACTAATAATCAAACTAATTGAAGAATTAAACGTCAAAATTATTTATAAAAAATATATTGTACTCTTCCTGTAAAATTTAATAATTATTTAATGAAAACTACGTACATAATATATAAATATAACAATATTATAATGATTTTTTTATCATTATCCTTACAAGATAACAATTAAAAAAACATGTGTACTATTTAATGTTAGTATTAGATCTTTATCATAATTTTAATAATTATACATTTATTATACAATAAATTATTTTTTTATGATAATGATATAATAATAACATTAACCATCAAACTTTTTAAATTTATTTTTCTTAATTATTACTTTGCGTACAATGAATAGTTTCAAATACAATCGTTTCAATAACGATATTAAATAAACAATTAATATCTAGTTTATGACAATTAGCAAATCCTAAAGGCGCGCAGAGCAGAGGGAGGAAGAAAGGGTCGGAGTCGGAGAGAATGTGGGAATCAATTGTTTTGACGGTAGTTGCCACCGCCGGCAATAACATCGGCAAAATCCTTCAGAAGAAGGGCACGCTCATTCTCCCCCCTCTCTCTTTCAAGTTCAAGGCATGTTTCTCCTTTTAACTCTATTTTCCTTTTTCTTATGCCCTTGTTTTGGTTTCCATTCAAAATCTCACCTTTTAAGATAACTACATGATTTCAAACATAAGCATGTGCTTTTCTTTGCTATCAATTCACTTTGACCCGAAACTTACAATTTGTGCGGTTGGGTACATGCACGCGCACATGTATGAGCGTGGGAATTTGGGTGAAGGAAAATTGGATAAAGATCCCATTTTTCATTGAAGTATGTGCGCCCAGGAATCACTGTTCGATTAAGGATTAACTTTGCTCTTTGGAACCTTCTTTTGACGATTGTGTTTTCAGGTCATAAGGGCCTATGCTTTCAACAAAAGCTGGGTAATAGGTTTTCTAATGGATATATTTGGGGCACTATTGATGTTAAGGGCATTAGCTCTGGCTCCTGTAAGTGCTCTGGCCATACCTTTAAGAGAAAAATAATTTAGAGGAAAACAAGAGTTTGAATTTGAAGAGATTTTTCTTTATCATGTTCATGCTTCTGTAGTATTTTGCTTATAACTTTTACATTGGTAATTTGGTTGTTTTTCTCATTTAGGTTTCTGTCATCCAACCAGTTTCTGGCTGCGGACTGGCAATTCTTTCAATCTTTTCTCATTTTTATCTCAAGGAAGTCATGAATGCCATTGATTGGGTAGGCATTACCTTGGCAGGTTTTGGCACAATAGGTAATGTAAGTTTTAGATTGCCAATGTGAAGTGTTAGCTGCTTTTACTTCCTTTAACACTGCAAGGACCATGGCTGTTGAAACTTGAAACAAATGTAAAATTTCTGGATTCTATTTCCATTGGACTGTCCCTCTGTTTTTCGTGTTTGTACCCATGTTGTCAAGTGATAGAAAAACCTTTTATTGATTATGATTAGACTTGAGAGTAACAAAAGTTTCTTGGTTTAGTTGTAGGTCAGAATTTGAGTGTAAATACAGTAACTGTAAATGTGATGGTGGGACCATTTTATTTTTTTGTATGCTACAGTATGTACTTGTGTTGTGTAGCTGAGCAATGGATTGAGATTTCATGGAATTTTCCTTATTTTATATTATCTGGCTGCTATTAAAATAAATTTTGCAGTCAGTTACTGGATTCAATTCATCATATATGTCATTCTATCGATTTATGATATACCTTCACGTGTCCAATTTGTTAACTATTGTATGGTCATCTATGTTTAGGAGTTGGTGCTGGAGGTGAGGAGCAAGAGGCTGCTGCGTTATCTATTTTTCACATACCATGGATGGCATTTGTTGTTTTCATCTTGTTTGTAGGTACCCTGGCTTATGCATTGATCCATTAATCACTGCTTTCTCTGAAGTCAGTAGGAAGTGACATTACACTGGTCTCTTGGAATGCATTAAATGTGTTATGCATGATTACAAGACCAGTGGTTTTGATACATTATTTTATTAATAGTATTAGTATTTTTTTATTGGGTTTATTTTTCTTTAAAGATTATAGGGTCATTGGTGCTACAAAGTAACATTACTATCTTCTGGAAAATTGTTCTAATTGTTAGAAACACTGGTGCAGATAGTTCTTAATGGATGGCTTCGTATATACAAACGTCAAAGAAGAGAACAAGAGATGGTAATTCATGTTTTAATCATGATAGGGTGCCTTCATTCTTACCTTTCTATTTTCATTATGGATGTCCTTCATGGTAATTTCAAGATATTCTTCTTCGATTGTTTCACATTTTTAAGTGATGCAGATGGAATATGATGTTGTCGAGGAAATCATTTATGGCTTGGAATCTGGAATTTTGTTTGGGTACTATTACGTCCCTACTATATTTATGTATTGTGCTCTTGTGGACACATTTCACTTCTTTCATTTACCTCAACTGCTTAATATCAGGATGAAGATTACAACAATTGTGTGTTTTATTTTGATGATATCTGTGCATGTTGCTTTCTCTTTTGTTTTATAATAAAAGAGGATTTGGAGAGAATAATACAGCTAGTAGCCTAATAGAATAACGTGTTATGTAGAAAAGAAAAAATAAATTACTCTTTCGAAACAATTATTGGAGGAGTACCGCAGGCACCGAGAGATCATAAACACAACTTTATTCCATAGCATACGTAAAGATAAACAGATGCTAAATGTGATCATTCCTTTCCAACCACAACAAGCTTGAATTTTTTTGTTGATTATCTGCATCTAAAAAAATGACTATTTTACATTAGTTGCTTGCAATATTTTATTCGTTAAGTCTAAACCTAATTTATTAGATATGTCAGTTTCTAACTTTATATTAATAGCTTATTATATGCATAAATGTGATCATTCCTTTCTGTTGGCTGAGTATGAACAAAATTTGCAGATAATAACATATTATTTACACACACGTGCACATTGGGGGTGGGGGAGAACAGAACTTGACCATACGTCCTATTTATGAATACGTAAATGCAGGATGGCATCTGTAATATCAAAGATGGGATTTCTATTCCTGGAGCAAGGCTTCCACAAGATGTTGGTTCCTATTTGCTTATTCATGAGTGTGTGTTCAAGTGGTACAGGCTTTTACTACCAGGTATTCTGAAGACCTCTTTCATACCATTTACTTTTCTGTGAACTATTACACCCTTTGAGCCTGAGGGACATTTCAAAGCATGGGTGGTGGGGAAGGCAGGATTTCAGTCAAACTGGCTGGAAGTTGTCTAAGTTCTGCACTGCCAATTTCAGATATAGTAACCTCTTTTCTATTTACTTCAATATACAGACACGCGGTTTGAAGCATGGGAGGGCTATTGTAGTTTCTACATGTGCAGCTGTGGCATCAATTTTGACTGGTGTACTTGCTGGAATGCTTGCTTTAGGCGAGCGACTCCCTTCGGCCCCAACAGCTCGCCTTTTACTTCTACTTGGCTGGTAATATAAGATGTCTTGCTATTATTTCTTTGTGCGTTTACATTTCTTTCTTTTCAACATTTCCGACATAAAGCAATGCAGAAAATGAAAAGAGTTCTACACTTCACTCCATCTGCTGCAGGCTACTAATTATTGTGGGCGTCATTTTACTTGTTGGTTCAAAAAGGCTAGCGAGATTCCTTCCATTTTCTTCACAGCGCTCTAAAAGAAGTAGTGTGGATAAGAATTATGGCCCTAGAAGATCTGGGACTTCCCGTATCAGAGAACCAAGCCCAACTGCTGTCATTCAAGCAGCAACCTTGAATCATTTACTATCATCATCTTCCAAAGAAAAAGCTTGATTTTACATGAGCTGGAAAATGATCCTTCATCCATTCTCAGGTTTCACCCGTACTTAAAAAAATACCCCCTCTTAAGGCTAGGTTGTTTGTGTAAAGTTGCTGCTTTATCAGAGGGCATGAATTTTTATGGATCATTCCTTCTGGCTCACCTATTTTACGTGAAAATTCATTAACTTGTATAAACTATTCATATGCTTCCAATAATTCTCAATATTGTATATGACCATGGTATAAAAGCGTACAGAGTAAAACTGTAGCAAACAAGTATTGTGCTTTCTATATCAGATACGTGGTTATTGTTTCACATTTTAATCATATGCTCAATACTATAAACCAAGTGGCACACATAATATACTTTATATATCAACAAAGGAATTTCTTGTTCCGAGCATTTTAGAATTTTTCTTTCATTGTTCAATGCAAAAGGCAGTGCTATCTTCAAGTTATGAAAAGTTGCGAGAATGGTGACATGGTTATGTTGAGTATGAAGAATGAGTGATGGGAGTAGGATAGGGACCCAAAGAAGAGCAGATGAATACCTCTGCAAGTGGGTCAATTAAACAGTTAATGGCTTTTTGAGGACATCAAACAAATTATGTCACGAAAGAACGAAGGGAGGAGGGACCCCTCTAAGGAAGTAATAGCACTCTCCACTGGGCTTTGATCTTGTGATTTAACCAAATCATTTGGTCCACCATGACAAGGACTAAGACGCGGCATGTACTGTGTAGTGAAAATCTATATTGCAAAACAAACTCACACTCACACTACTCATCATCCTTGATGCATCATTAGACTCATGACCAATCGTAAGGGGGACTTAGCCGACACAAGAAGACAGTGGAAGAGCCAAGTAAAATGACCGATCAAAGGGAAAGAACCATAGAATGCAAGTCCTGGTGAATAGTTCCTTGAGAATCCATGTCTAATGCATTTGGCACACACAAACATGGCCACTCATGTACCATAAACTATGCATGTATCAATCAGACTAGTATCTCTCAAATGTTTCAACATAGAAGAGTCAATTTCTATAGTTATTTCGGATAAGTTCACCATAACAGATAGGGATTTTCCCGGTGACCACCTTATGCCATAACCCAATTATTTTACCAAGGGGAGGATGGTACTTTGGGCATCTTCAGTTCCAAAACTGTTTTTTTCATACTCCAACATTAGAGTCTGCTCCATCAAATTGCTTTGCCTTTCACTTCGAATAAGTTAGTTATGTAAACAAGAATAGAAGAATTTTTCTGGGACTGGGTCTCTAAATGAGTATGTTTGTGCCATTAACGCTGGAAGGGTTCGAAATATCGTTGCTCAAAAAGAATAAACATAAACAAGAGGTACACATTAGGACTATAACATTGATACCTGCTCAACTACCCTATCAGCATTTTTTTTTGTCATAAAATTTGCTTGTATTACCTAAGGTTTTTAACTGTCTTCTCATCATCCAAATTTCGATTCCTTTTATTATGCACTAAATCCACACCATTCATTTATAATTACCTTATTTGTAGCATTTTTATAACAACTTTAATGGTCCAACAACTATAAATTGCTTTTTTTTTTTCGTCATACTATTAATTGCTTTAGTTATAATTTTATTTATAGACTCTATCGTGACTCATCATCATTTTTACCTTTTTACGATCTAACTAGCAAAGAAAATGTTGTTTCAATAACCTGAATCTCAACAATTTTGTCGCAAAAGCAATTTGTTCATAATCCACACTATGTTTTGTGATTTTTTAACTTGCTTGAACTAGATTTAATTGTGATGAATTACATAAATACATATAATATCTTTTTAGTTTTTTTCGTTTTAATTGTTGATTGTTTGGTCTCTATTATGACTTCAGTTTTTCAATCCTCATTACTTTTCTCTAAGGCTTGGGAATAGCATTCAATCCTTATCCAATCCATACTATTTTGTGGCTAATTGCAAACTTGACTGTCAATATCATGTACTTTACATCATTTTATTTTATTATATATAATTTTACTTTTCACCTCCCTGCATGCCCCACTACAAGTATTGTGGTTCTTCTTCAACGGGTTTCTTTGCCTTCTCTTAATTATAAATAATAATAATAATAATAATAATGATAATTCTTGTATATCTAAAGTGGGATATCTTTTGATATTTCCCTTATATTTAGAGAATCCCTTTTGAGGTGTGGATAAAATAGAAAATAGCTATATATATACACACACAACGTCATATATGATATTAATATTCAGATGTTCAAATAACAACTAAGACGAAAAAATATGTCAATAACCACAAATGTTCAAATAAGAATGAAGTAAAAAATTGCAAAATTAGTTATAAAGTTGTAAATGATCACTAGCTTTTACGGAAGATATAATTAAAAAGGTATAGTATTTATATTAAAAATTAAAACATGCTTCGTGATTAAATTAAAGAAATTATTCATTCGCACGTTTACGTGTAATGATTCCTCATGCTTAGTTTTTATTAACTTCTTTTAAAAAATAAATAATCAATCAGTAAAATTTAATAATGATTTTTTTTTTATTTTTTAAAGAAGCTACTTCTGAATATGAAAGATAATAAGCGTCCTACTTTCTTCTATGGTAACCATAAGGAGTCACGGTGTGCTGCATAAAGTCTTGAGGTTCGGCAAAAGTCTTGGTTGTCCTTGATTAGTCTATCTTGTCTAATTAAGCCACTACAAAGTGGAGCCAACCATATTATGCACAACTGAGATTCTGCTCAGGAAATGCTTATCATCTCTTTCCATTTCCAAGTACTCATTTGCCTTTAATGAGTTGTAACAAGTAACAACTAGATATGACTATTTTACATGGAAGAAAAATTATCGAGTGATCCAAAATTATGTAGTTTTTGCCATTCATATTACATAATATATGGATAAATTTTATAATTTATGAAAAAAATTGGGTTGCAATGTGAATGGTCAAAATTACTTGATCTCATACTATTGAAAAATTATTTGAGAAATTGATTGACCACTAAATGGAGAAAAAAAAATTATAATGGAAAGCAGCAAAGCATAGATATTAGAATTCCAGTCATAAAGACAAAGTAGTACACGGTAACAAACAACATATGGCCCCATCTAAGCAGGTTTTTGTATACATCTCAAATGATGAAGAATCACATCATAAATCAATTTTGGAGAAAAACCTCCCATCAATAACAGTCTCACTCTGCATTCTCTCGTCCTGGATAATTACCTAATTGCTTCATCTGCCAGCTCTCATGAGGGGCAACATGTTCATGTGAAGGAGTGTAATACTGCAAAAAGAAGTCAGCTGGAGCTTAATACACTAATTTCAACACTTTATCTCCCAAAAGGAATGAGACAAAAGAGAGAGAGAGAGAGAGAGAAAGAGAAGAAAAAAATGGTATTTGAAGTCATTAATAAGAATGATCATTTTGAGAGTTTAAAAAGTCTAATATCAATTAGCCTTGATGCTTACCATTGCCACATAAGCAGAAAAATCCTAAATGACAACAATTACACAACAAAGTGCTTAGGGGAGAAAAGTCCTAATTGACAACTGTCCCACAACAAAGTGCCTAGGGGGAAAGAACATAAGAAAAAGTATGACCCCTCCCCCCCCCCAAAATCTATTTTCACAAGTCATGCATAGAATCATATGTCTATGCTTTATTTAGGTTTCGGATGACAACCTTTAAACTGACCAATTTTGACTGTACAATATTAGCATGTATAATAGTGATAAACCAACAAGCATACACGATCAATAGATTTTCCTCATGACCCTAGATGTTCAACCTACCATTAAATAATCTTTTAAAGATCAATTCACAAATTTGAATGGAATTTTTCATGCACACGTTTCTAATGTTTCCTTTGACATAGTAAAGGACAAATGGATAATTGAAATTACACCTCCATCTTCATCATAAGTTCTTTGGCTGAAGAAGCAGAGACGACTATATTCCGTGCACCAGGCTTGATAAAGCCTTCTTTAACACCATTGTCAAATAATGCAAGCAAACAGTTATAGTAACCGTCCACATTCAGTAGACCAACCTGAGCAGGATAACATTGTGTTAGCATTTGATTATTATACTAGGGATTTTATAGTAAGTAGTAAAATACTAGTTTACCGGTTTTTTATGAATTCCAAGTTGGGCCCAAGTTATCATCTCCAACAGCTCTTCCATGGTACCATATCCTCCTAATTATAAGGAAGGAAGAAGCATACAAACAATGAGAAACAATATTATATAAACAATGTACCAATTCAAAACACCAATAATACAAACAAAATTCCCTATAATTAAGGAAAATTTTAGGGGCATTCACAAGACATATAATCATCAATTATTTTTAAAAATTATTTCAGAGGTGTTCAGGTAACTACCAGGGAGAGCAACAAATGCATCAGCTTCTTGAGCCATTGCAGCTTTACGCTCGTGCATATCTGAGACAATTCTCACTTCACCTACTGTTTCACCAGATATCTGTCAAAATTGCCCAACAACAACTTACTAACAAAACACTAATCATATTTTCTCCATCAGAAGCATCTACAAATTATTTGCATGTCAAAGAAAGGAACACCATCATGCTACAAAATAAGAAGTTTAAAGCCAATGCATTGGAGGTGGCAGGCTGAAGATAGTGCAAGGTAAAACTAATATAAAACAAAGACCATTAAGTGCTAATGATAAAATTAACTGCAAGTGGAAGGAAAATGTTAAGAACTGTAGTATAAATACCTCAAGAGGCATGAGAACTTTTGGAATGATCCTGCACGTGGAGAGGGGGGCAAAATGTAAAGAAGAAACAAACAAATGATGAGACATGAGATCAATTATCAGCAACACCAGCTTATAGTAAATGACTGAAGCATCCATAATAAACACTAAAAAGGCAAGTTTTTTCTTTTATTATTCATATACCCTAGAACATGGCAGCCTCCATCATACACTCTCTGGGATATTAAGCCCATTAGCCCAACACTTCCCCCACCATACACCAAGTCTATGTTCCTCTTAACCTGTAATTCAAGCCATAAAAAAAACAACGATAAAGATGAAGTTGATTCACGATGATGAATTATTCATTGTGTATATGCAGGGCACAAAATGCATTCATACAAAGTTGTTAAAGCTATGTATCTGAAAAAAGGTGCCTTCTAAACAAAGAGTGCTCGTTAACAAACGAAACAAATTTAGTATAAAGTATCAGCATAGAAAACAACAGTTAGTATACGTTGAACACAAGGTATGCAGAACAGAATATATCAGAAGTGAACAAAGCAACGCAGAGGATGTGCTCTGAGACATATAAGAACCCTTTTATTATGGTATTTGAAAGACGAGTGTTTTTGAGAGAAAAAAAAAATATTGAGGAACAGAAAAAGAGAGTGAAGAGTGATGCAAAAGAACGAACCAGTTCATTGCCCAATTGAATCGCAGCGTCACTGAAAACCTGCCTGTTGCCAGAGTTGCTGCCACAGAAGACACACAGCGTCTTGAACTTGCTTCTGGAGTACCCTTCCTCCATTCAAAATCGTTGCTTTCTTTGCGGTTTTTGAATTCAAAGCAAAACCATTGGAAGAAAGAAAGAAAGAAAAAGAAAATGAATGGAAGAGAGAAAAAGGGTAGGCCTTAACGCGTATGAAGATTATATATTGCTTTACTTTTTGAGATATCAGCAAAAGCCAGAAACTTTCTAACCAGGGTTGATCCTAAATGGACAAATAGAGCATGTATGAGAAAGAGAAATCGATGAGACTGGCACTCATTTTTGGTGAGCAAAGCATACCCACCCCACATGCTCTTATTTCTTTTCCAATCCTACGTCTTTTTGTCGCTTTTCTAAACTTTAATACGCCTACATTTAGTATTTCAGATTGCCATAATAGCCAATTTTAGGGTTCTATGACCATCATGTACATGCACATGAAAAATATGTTTTTTTTTTTTTTTCATAAATATGAGGCATCTATTAGTTTTTTCTTTAATTTTGAAAATAACTATTAAAATGTATGAATATAAAAAATGTAAAAAAACAGTATTTATTTATAATAGTATTATGTAGTGTCAAATTTTAAATACTTCAACAACATATTAATGATGTACATTAATCTAGAAAAATAATTTTTAATAATGTTTAATGATTAATTATACATTATTATAAAATGGGAACAGAGGAAATTAAAATTAACTACTCATGTATTTACTTCTGCTTTATAATTTTTTAAACATGTTAACTTCAATGCTGGATAAAGTAGTTTATAAAATATGATACGGCATTAAAATAGTGCAACCAAACGTATACTAATTTATCTAAGCTAGATTTTATGGTTAAACTTTTGCTAGTGTTATTAAGAAAGCAGTCGAATTTACTTAGAAATGATAGGGATAAAAGGTCAAATGATTATCAAGGCGATACAAAATGAGATACAAACTCTTTTGTAAGGTGGTCAATTGGTGGTGTTCAATAATTTTAGTAGGGCGGGTTCAAAAGTTTCATCATTGACAACTTTGTCTATAATTGATCAATAGTTATATTAAAATTATCCAATCAAATGCATAGAAATATAACTTGAAAAAGAAAAAAATGAAAAAAGAAGTGTAGGATGAATTCATGATCGCACTACTTGCTGTGAGGCATCGAATAACTTTCATTCTCAGGTTTGTTAGCTGTTCCAAAAAGATGCCTTCATATTTTCATTTGCTTATTTATGGACCACATGCAATAATGTGTTCTTTTAACTAAATATCCGCGAGGGTTAGTGGAATTGAATTGCTTCTCCTAGGAATAACTTGTGCTCTCAATTGTTCAACATATATACATGCATATCATAATGCTAAATTTGAGCAAATTTGTGAGAAAATGGTCATATCATTTTATTCTCAATCTAGAAAAGAATTTGGACCCTAAAACAACCCACCCATGACCAAATTTATGATCGTCCAAATTATTTATAAGTAAATAAACAAGTGTGTTTGTACATTTAACTTATTGACCATTCTTTTGAATTGGTTTGGGTAAGTGTATGTGACCCTACCATTATAAACATATTATTGAATTATAGCAAACTGTAATTCTTAAGTGTAAGAAAGAGAGAGAGATATCCACGTCATGAGAATGCACGAGTGTCTCACTATATCTAACACAACAAAAAGGGTGAAAGAAGAGGATACACCCAAAATTGAACATCATGTCCCACTGTCCAGCCAAATGGACGACGGGTACCTCTGGGCCGATTCTAATGTATAGCCTTTCAAGTTCAGTGAACACCTCCTTTTCTAGCTTTTCCAACTTCTACTCTTTTAATTAAAATTCACTATTTTCCAACTCTACTTTTGCTCCTGCCAAATCTTTGTGGGTTTCCAAGAAATGTAAAGTTATGATGAACACATTGGCAGTACAGTTTTGAACAATTGTAGATGTTAAATAAATTATAAAGTTAAATGTGATACTTAAATTATAGACTTCTCCCACTTAAAATATTATTATTCTTTATGTCGTGATTAACTCATTTGAAGCAATTTATGCTTGTGTTTAGTGAATTTGATGAAATTATATACTGGGTAGTTTATTTCTTTTCTCTTTTTTATCTTACATAATGTTTTCGATATATCACGATACTGTCTATCCTTTTCATTTAGAAAAGTGTTTTGAAGTATGAATTATTTGACAAAAACTTAATTACAAAGGGTTTGAATGAATTCTGTCCGGCACTCTTCTGATATATATAAGATTTTTGTAACCAATGAGATGCGAGCACATCATACTCATTTTGGGTGAAAATTCTAAGCACTATCTAACTCTAATATTGTTTCATTAATACAAAATTCCTTTAACTTCTTATATTATTGTATAAATTGAGGAAATTCAAGTTAATATTTAAAAAATGGTATATGGTATAAAAGAGTAATTTTTATATAAACACAAGTATAACTAGTTTTTCTTAGACACAACCAATAAAACATTGTAATAAAGAAAAAATGTTGTGTGGATATGATAACATTATATTAAATGAAACTTTTAAGAACATGTAAGTTTAAAATGAGAAAAATTATATACACGTTTCAAACTCTGAACTTGGATTCAGATGAACCAGAACTGCAAATTTTCTTCAAATTAATCGAAATGCCATTGGAGAGAAAAAAAAATGGTAAGGTAAGAAAGGAAAGAAAATGAAGGCATAAAAGGAAACCGGTTATTTAGATGGAGAAGGAAATATGGGAGAGGTTATTGCCTGCTGGTACAAAAGGATGAAGAAGAATAATCAATCCTTCTTTGCAACTAAAATGAATCCTAACTTGACACAAATTCTTTGTAGCCTCTTTTTTTTACAACGCTTTATATTAAAAGAATGAGAATATAGAAAAGAATATTCTGCCAAAAAACACGTCCAACAAAACAATATGACATATAAGTGAAAAAGTCTCAAATTTTAAATTAATTATCTCGTTTTTTTCTTAAACCTCTTTTAGTAGCTTTTGTTAGTTTAGTTTAAAATTATGTAAAATTATTTTTAAACTATTATATGCCTATTTGTATACGTTATGCAACAGAGTTTACGGGAATTCCAACACAAGTTACATGGGAATGAAACATTGTCAATTCTATCAAAACTCTGTTAGAATTTTTATCAATCAAGCACTAAATATGATTATGATGTTAAAAAAGTGACATTTCATCCATGGAGCATACTCATATTTTTAGCTTTTTCCAAGGGTAATAATGCTGGCATCTTTGCCAAAAATGGGAAGAACAGAAAACCCCTATTGCTTGGCTTTCTCGTCTCTTTTTCCTTCTCCCCATCAACTCCTGAATTCAAGCAATCAGTTTCGGTGTGCTTCACCATTCTATTTTCCAAGAAAGCAATAATCTGGTATTTGATCTCTCAAATTCTATTTTCCCTTAGGACTTTGTAAGCAACCTTTTAGTCCTCATAGATTAATCCAACATTCCACAAAGAACAAAAACAAATCATTTTTGTTTTTGTGAACAGAGAGAGAAAGAGAGAGACCACAAAAACCATACATGTTTGTCATGGGAAGAAAAGACCCTATTGATAATCTCTCATTGACACACCCCATTATATATTTGTCATTCCTCGCTGTTGGGTTGGCTGCGAGCATGGCTATAATCACAACCTTGTGCAGTTTTGGATTCCGAAGAAAATCATCACCATCATCGCCATCCTCTGATACAATAGAAATAGCGAAAGAAATGGATGCACCTCACACGGACACAGCAGAAAATGAGAACAACGAGGTTCAGGTAAAGGAACTACCTCTTCCCCCCGCAATGCAAGAACCAAAGGAACCATTTATATCAGAGAATTTGAAGAGAGTAACTTCTGAAAGAAAGGCACCTCTTAGTTTAAGCATAAAGATGCCAAGGAGTTTTTCTGTGGCAAGAGCTAGGGATCAAAAGGAGGACAAAATCAAAGGCAAGTTGAAAGCAGAGGACTCTGTTTGGATGAAAACAATTATTCTTGGAGAAAAATGTGTTCCTGATGAAGAGGATGATCCTGTCATTTATGAAGGGAAGGGAAAGAGAATTTCAGCATACCACGGTAAAAAACATAGCTCCATATCCATTTCTAAGCAATGTTCTCTCCTTGATCATGATGCATTATCATTGTCTGTAGCACAGCACCAACCCCAAACAGATGAAGAAAAAATCAATAGCACTTAATCTTTCAATCATATCAAAGAATTTTCTTTATGTTTTACGTCAATCCATGAATGCATGTGATTATTTTGACGTAGTTTCTCCTTGTGAAGAAAAAAACAACGTAGATTAGGTATTTGTGATTTGTATATCTGGTGCATGTGGGTAATCAAATTATCAGCTTTCTTGCAATCTATACTTGTACAATTCTTTTTTATCTCTCTTTTACTCTTTTTTTTTTTTTTCATAAAATTTTCTCTCCTTGTTACAATACATTTTTTTACACCTAATGAGTATATGAATAACATTTTTCCTCGTAATATAAACATGCTGCAAAGTGGATAAGGAGTTAAGCTCCATTTAGAAATTTTTTAAAATCAATTTCATAAGAATTTTAAAATATCTTAAGCTATGTTTAGAAAAATGAATTAAAAATTACGAGTATGATTTACTGTGTGTGTTAATTTAAAGCTGTAACTCTGTAAGTGTGGTTAACTGTTTGTATTAAATGACTTAAGAGAATATATAAAAACTGTGGACTAAATTACAAACTGCCTTTGGTGAATCTCTGCATGAACATGTTTCGTAAAACGTGAAGCGTGAAGACTTGTTGATTAACTGTTGATTTTTTTAATTTTATTTTGATACTCCAATTGGTTACGTAGACGTGAAAACAAGTAGGCTGTTACTCGTCAACCATTCATGGGATGGTGGGGAGATAGTGATTCATACTTGTTCCATGATAATTTATTTTTTCTTAAATAAAGGAAAAGTTCAGAATGAGAAAGGGAAAAGAAATCAGAGTTGGTAGTGAGACACAGCCAATTCCTTTCTCTTGCTGAGACACAGACATAGATTTTTCCTTCCATTTTTATAGACCTGAGACAAAATACTACTGGATCAGGGGAAAAAACAGAATACAATAATATAAAAAAGATCAAAGAAAAAGTAGAACATATTTTGAATGTTTCCAGCTATAAATTATAAAATTTATTTTAAGATTGTGCAGAACTAGAATGGTATCGATGTGCACGTGTTTGAAAAAAAAATCATAAACTATTTTCAGTAATGTTCTTTCTAGTTTCAGAAACTGCAAAATATTATATTTTGAATGTTCGGTAGATAAATAACCAGATTTTTTTTTAATTGCAAAATTTTAATTACTTACTATTTAGTTGGAATAAAGAGTTCTGAAAAAATTTGTATTCCTCCTTTTGCTATAATTACTCTGTTGATGGTCTCATCCTCTGCGCGTTTTTCCAGCAGAGCTCTTTCTTAGATTGTGTTTTAGAGCTTAGGCCCGTTACTTAAAAAAAGAAATTTTTTTATTTTAAATTTATTATTAAATTTAAAACGTTGGAGGAGTACGTATACAGTAAACTAAGTATACATTTGGTGTATAGAATTGTACCTTCGAACTGCATTATTATTGTGTTTGTATGTTGATTTAGAATTATAATTATAATTTTATATATCAATTTCATAGAATTATATGGAAAACTCTTCAATTCATATATTGCACGTTAGAAATTTGAATTTCTAATATATAATTTATAAATATATTATGGTCATTTTTTTAGTTTTTTTGTATTTCTCGTTTTTGTGATTTTTTTCTTTTTTAAATACTTATTTCTTCAATTTTTTTCTCTTTTTCTTTATTTTCTCTTTCTCTTATGCATCTTACTTCCTCTTTTAATGTTTTTTTGTGTTATCTTCTTATTTTAACTATACTTTTACATTTTTTATTAATACTATTTTTTTCTATGTTCTCTTTTTTTTTTTTTTCTATTCTCTTCTTCCTTGTTTTACCTTGATTATTATTAAAAATTATTTTTCTGTATTCTCCATTTGTTTTGTTCTTTCTATTCTTATTTTATACCTTTTTTTTCTTTTTCCTATATTACATTTGTTATATGTTTAATATGTTTACGTTATTGTGTTGTATTGTTATTCTGTACTTATTACAAACTATATTGTATTTGTAACTTTTACGCTTGTCGCAAACTATATTCTTTATATTAATTGTATAATAATTTGTTTAATATTTTTTTTGAATTATTAGATGGCAGTGAAATATTAGAAATTAATTTAAAAACTCTTGAGAGTACAAGAGAAATAAAAAAGATAAAACTAGTGCTAGATGCAAAAAAGCAATAAAAAGTATATTTTTAAGGCAATTATAGCATAAGACTAATGAAAATTATTATAATTAATTATGTCTTACTAAACAAGTTTTTTCTTAAGCCTTGCAACATTTTACAAAAAAGATGAAAACTAGATAATACTTACTATGTAAGCATAGAATAATATGTTATAATATTTCTACTTATTTTAGTTTATGGTCTTAGAATGAGTTATTGTAAGTATTTATATTCAATTTATATTTTTAATTTTGAGAATTAAATTATATTTATGAGCATTCGTATACTTTCATCAAATTTATGAGAAAAATAATTTATAACATAATATTAATTTTTAATAATAAATTAAACATAAAAAATAAATTTACTATGTCATAATTTTTAAAAAATAAATATTAAATTATCATATTTAACAATTTATTTAATAATTTTATGTTTTTAATTAACACGTTATTCTTAAAAAAGTTATTAAATAAGATTTTAATACAAAATTAAATTAATTTTTAAAAATTTAAATCTTACATCACACTATAAAATTTAATTTCAATTTAAAATTTTAATTATATATTTTAATTTTTTGAATACGATAAAAATTATAATTTTGAACTAATTTTAATTCTACTTAAATTCTTACGAAATTAAAATTAAAATTACAATTTTAAATATTAATTCTGATTTTATGTACTAAAAGAATTTAAAGAGAGAAAAACTCTCTTTCCTCCACTTTTTGCATTTTCTGTTTTCATTAAATTTTTTTATTTGGTATAAACCAAATATATATTTGAGTACACACCTAACGGGGATTGAATAAATAATTTTCAGCACTAACAAAATTATTGTTTTATCAAATGTTTGTTGATGTATTTAAAAAAGTTGAAGGACATAAACGAATTAAAAGTTGAAAAGATAACTAAAAGATAAATTTTGATAAGTTTTATTGCTATTATAAAATTTGACAAGACAAGTTAATTGATTAAATAAAAAATATTTAATAAAAATAGCTGTTAAATAAAGGATTTATTTTAGTTTAGATTTGAGTAAAATCATTTTGATCAATTTAATTTTAAATTGTTAAATATTTTTTAAACTTGCTCGTAAATTAAATCACATGATTTTACTAGAATACTGTAAAAAACTCATAAATAATAAATGAGAACATAATTAATCATTGAATTAGAACTTAAAATTTGATAGTTATATATTTTAAATAATTATGAAATTTTGTAAAATCCCAGACACAAATAAATATAAAGTCGTAATCAAAAGCGACTCTTCTTAAATTTTATATTTTATAAGATAAAATATCTCAAAAGAAAGAAAGTTTGATTTAAAATATTAAATTATAAATAGAAATTAAGAAAGATATTTTTTGCATAAAAATTTTGTGTACAGTAACTTTGTAAAATATATTTATTAAATTAAAAAAACATTTAATTGATAAAACATTGTTTTAAAAGTAAGAGAATGAATATAATATATCGCTATTTTAAAAAAATATAAAATTGATATAGATAGTAGGAAAGTATTTTGTATATTTTTACTGGGTTGATTAATTTAATTTAAGTATAAAAAAAAAGTTAACTATATCTTAATTAAATATATTATAAAAATTTTATATTAATACAACATTAAAATTCAAAAACGTGTCAAAGAGAATACACAACTTTAGTCTCAAAGGATTGATCGAATAATGCGTTTTTTTTTTTAAATTATGATATTTTCCTAAATAAAAAAGGTTGACAGTAAAATATATAAAAAATGTTTATTTTGAAAATTTACAAAGTTAATATTCAAGTGCATTTTAATTTTAATTTAAAATAAAAAATTATTTTTAAAAAATTAGCAATGATGTTATTTAAAATAAGATCCAAAAAATCTCCATCAAAGCTGTATTTTAATAAACTAAATAATCCATTTAATTTTACCTCTTTTTTTAAAAATAATTTACTCTAAAATTTAGCAACACCATTTATCAAAAAAAAAATTATCAGTGTTTATTTTTAAAAATTCACGTGGACAAATGATAAAAAACATGTGAGGTACGCTGAAAGGAACATGATAAATGGTTGACGCGCGCATACCACGTGAGACTTCCACGAAAGTTACGATGTAATTGCAAACTGGCAATTGCAAGGAAAAGAAAAAGCGCAAATCATAAAATCAAAACTAACCAACCCAAAAATCTCAATTCAGTTCAAAGGAGAACGGGTATCTGTTCCTTCATCTTCCCCATCTCTCACGTACCTGTTCTCCTTTACCCCTTTTTAAAGCCAGGGTTTTTCTCTCCAAGGTCTTATTTTTACGCCACTCAGATTCACATCTTTATGGTTCTTCTGCCACACAAAGCCTTGGCCTTTGCTGTTAATTCATCCTCCTTGTGGTAATCCAAAAGGGCCCTTTTGCTTGTCGTTGTTGATGTATCTAATTGTTTCTGAAGGGAATTGGCTTGTGAACATACCCAATTCATATCCATTGCAACACACCCACTTGTCCTTCTCAAGACGCAGATGGGATAAAGAGTTTTCTGAACTCCAAAGTGGGTAGGCTAAACAATATTCATAACAATTGAATTGTCTTGTTTTGGAATTAATGGATTCTTCACAAGGGTCTACGCTGGCTGGTTTTGTGGACAATGCATCTATTAAGCGGGATGAATCTTGTTTTGATGGCATTCCTGTGTATGTTAAGGAGCTAATTGCTGGAGGCTTTGCTGGTGCTCTTTCTAAGACTGCTGTTGCACCTCTAGAACGGGTCAAGATACTCTGGCAGGTTTATCACCCTTTCTTACTCTTTCTTTTTTCGCTTAATTTTCTTTTTAGGGGATCATCCTTTGAGGTTTACTTAATCAGATCATGTTACAAGTCTGCTCTAAATTGATTTGAACGACTTTGCCCTTATTCTCTGTTTGGTTTAGAGGAAAAAAAGCGAGGAGAGACAGAAAAGTTTGAAATTTGAATTAAAAGAAAGTGGGAGGAGAGAAAAATTTGAAATTCTTATCTGTATTTTCTCTCTTTTCTATGTTCTCCCCTCTCTTCTGAATAAAACATTAATGTACCAGTGGGAAATATCCATGGGATAATGACACTAGACAATTGTGATACGCTAATTCTTTATTGGGATTGATTTGAATTATGGTAACAAGGTATCTTGGATTTAGAATCTTCTAGGATCATACGGGAAGGGGGAGAGAATTTTAAGCGTGTAAAGAGAGGATTGTATTATGTCTTGTGCTTGCCTAGGGTGTCAGTTAGTTATCCTTCTTGATTTGTGTCTATTGCTGGATTCTTGAAGTTCTTGATTACTCTCATCAACTGACTTTCAGAGGTTATTTCCTCTTGTTTCAAGAAGTTTTTTCCCCCGTTTTCCTGAAAACTCTGATTTTATCTTTTAATGTATATTTGTCGTCACTTGTTATTGTCAGATATACATCATCCATGATGGTGTTGCTTTCTATGCACCTTCTCTGCAACTTAAGAATGTTCTTAAATGGTTGTGTTCCTCTTTAACCTTTTTTATTAATTTTTACCACAGACAAGGACAGCAGGATTTCAGTATCTTGGGGTGCACCAATCTTTGAATAAGTTACTAAAGCATGAAGGTTTTCTAGGATTATATAAGTAAGACAAATTGCATAATATGATTATTTTATTTCCTTAATTATGTATTGTTAATAATCTATGCTTATGTGATGGTTTCAGAGGAAATGGAGCTAGTGTTATCCGCATTGTTCCATATGCCGCCTTGCATTTTATGACTTACGAGCGGTATAAAAGTTGGATCTTGGATAATTATCCTATGTTAGGAACAGGTCCTTTTATTGATCTTTTAGCTGGCTCCGCAGCAGGAGGAACTTCAGTTTTATGTACATACCCCTTGGATCTTGCCCGTACCAAACTTGCTTATCAGGTAGGAATCTCCTTTGATCATATTTAAATAGACTTGACATGACCTAACACATGATCACATTGAGAATCTCTTTTAATTATCCATTCCATTATTTTGTTTGTAATCCAAGCTAAATAAAAGTTTAAGGAAGCTTGTACAGCTAGGGAAAAATAATAGAGAAAGGGAGATGAATAATAAATATTGTTTTATCTACCAATTTCAAAAGAGAAACTACGGAAAAATTTATGTTCACAGATTGCTTCAGCATGCCTTAATCAGAGGAGACACTATAAAACAACATGATATTGAGTCCAGTTCATATGGTCTATGATAACTCCTAAGAAGGAAATAAGAAAGTATGAATGCAATCCTTTTATGTTTAAATCAAATCGGCAATTCTGCAGAGAATTAACATAATGACCCAAATCAATAAAAACTAAAAATATTAGCTTAAAAGAACATTGGTTCATGCTCACACTTGTTAGGGGAATGTATTATTACTTCTGTTTATTTTTAATCTCTGAGAAATTATGTCATGCTTTTTGATAGTTTGGTGCACCCTGGGATTTGAAATTTTTCCTTAGAATATTCCATTGATCAACCAATCTACTTTAGATAGATCATTTTCCATTTAGCTATTAGGGAAACCTATATGACTGATTGCTCGTCTAGGACTTATTCTCTATGTAAGTAATAGATCTTCAATTTTTTTAATACCCTAGTTAGTGGGGGATATCTTGTGAGGGAAAGATACATAAAGTATACAATCTCATTTTATTTCATATTTCTGTTGTTTACAAATTTATAGGTGGCAGACACAAGAGGAAGTATCAATGATGGTATGAAAGGAGTTCAGTCTCAATCTGCACATAATGGCATTAAAAGTGTGCTTACAAGTGTCTATAAGGAAGGTGGAGTTCGTGGGCTTTATAGGGGTGCAGGTATGTATGTCCCAGGATCTACCAATACAACCTTTATGTTTGGCAATCCTAATTGGTTCCTGGTGGAGAATTCTGTTCGAATTCATGTTTGTGAGATACTGTTTTCTCATAGAGTGTCTCAGTTACTATATTGTGCATTTTACTGCATTATCCAGTTTTTTCAGTACATTGATTGAAAACCTCACCTTTTTCTTTTCCTTAGGACCAACCCTTACTGGAATTCTTCCATATGCTGGTTTGAAGTTCTACATGTATGAGGAATTGAAGACTCGTGTTCCTGAAGAACATCAGAAGTCCATTTTGATGCGTCTTTCTTGTGGAGCTCTTGCTGGATTGTTTGGGCAGACTTTAACATACCCTTTAGATGTTGTTAAGAGGCAGATGCAGGTACTCAAGCACAACTTGATGTCCTCACTACTCAGTTCAATAAGCTTTTCTAGTCAAATTAGGTCTGCAATCTTTTACTGGATATAAAATTTGATTGAGATCCCTTTTAGGTCGTATACAACTATGTAGCATTAGTATACAATACATTATATATCCATTTGTTTGTGTAGGTTGGCAACCTGCAAAATGCAGCTCATGCAGATGCTAGATACAGAAATACACTTGACGGACTTAGGACAATTGTTCGTCAGCAAGGGTGGAGGCAGTTGTTTGCTGGCGTAAGCATTAACTATATAAGGGTATGCATACTTTATCATAGCCAACTTTAAGTGAGCTGAGTTTTGGATTACTTTTTCACATGTTTCAAGTTCTGTTTTTCGCTTTACCCACCATATCAAGCAGCTCAAATTACAGTTATAAGCATCTTTGTTGCATTGAAAAATGCTATTTTTTTTCTCTTGTTCCCGGAATTGTTATGGTCACCTTGAACATTGCCAGCCAAATCGTTGATGGCATTGGTGCGCTTATTTTTTGTTCCTATGTTGTGATTTTATTCTAAAAAATTCTGGCTATGTTCCAGATTGTTCCTTCAGCTGCAATTAGTTTCACCACATACGACATGATGAAGACTTGGCTTGGCATACCACCTCAGCAAAAGTCTCGATCAGTTTCAGCAGCATAACTGCTCACCCATGATGACAATAAGTTGCAAATTTACATATTGACTCCATTTTCATAGGGATGTCACATGATTTCCACAAATTATTGTTTTAGAGGAATCCCTTGTGATTAAATTAACTAATGCTCAAGTTAATTTGTCATATTTGGAAAGCTCCTTCATAGTGCTACTCATTATTTCTTTAACCTTAAAAATGAAACTTACGTAGATTTGTCCGAAACTATGGATGCAACTCAAAAAGCAATGATTTCACCTAGAATTAGATAATTGCAATGCTTGGAATATGTTTATGTACACACGGCACGGCATGTTATAAGGGCTTCAACAAAGCTCAAGGCGGCGCTTATTTATTTATTTTGTGAATATTTATTATCATCCTCATGCTCTGGGCAGTACAAGTATCTGACAATGTGCTAAATTATTTAGTTTTTCATATTAAATACTAAAATTAATATTGTATATGATATTTTACACTTTTTTTTTTGCATATACATATTTTAAAATATATCCAAATTTGAAAAGGAAATATTTTTTTTGCCCCACTTTTATGTTAAAAAAAGTTTTTATATTAATACATGATATATTAATATAAAAACATTTTAAACGAAAAGAAAAAGCTGCCCGTCCTTGCATTTCGCACGTCACTCTCCCTTCCTCCCACTTTTTCTCATTTTTTGAAGGAAGGAATATTTTTCACTTTTTAAAATTATTTCATCTTTTTCTTATCAAACAAACATCATAAATACCTTTCTTCTCTCTTTCTTTTTTCCCTTTTAATTTTTTTCCTAGATCACCCAAAAAATATTTTGCCTTGAAGGTTGTTATTGATTCTTAAAAGTAACAAAAAATAAAATAAAAATCCACCTTATCATGTAAACTTATCTAACAATTTTATTTCTTAAAAAAAAGTTATATAACTTTACCTTAAATGCCAAATTTAATCACTTACATTATTTAATAAATTTTTATATAATGTAAAATTAATAAATTCAACAATTATTTTGAATATTCTTGTTAAGTATATGAATTTTATAAAATTTCATACAAAATAAAGTTAATAAATATTTCATTTAATTATTTTATTTCAACATATAAAATATTTGAAAATATAAATTAATACTAAAATTTAAATAACATAAATATAAATATTTAAATTATATAAAATTTGACATATATGATTATAAAAATAATATTAAATAATTTAATGATTGAATTAATTAAAATACACTATTGCTCTCCCAAGGGGTTGACAAAAAGAAAGTGGGCAAGACAAGTGTTGTACCGAGTTGGTACTGTGGAATATAATATTCATAGAAGAAATGAGTCTCCTCAGCGATTGACTATCTGTCTCTGGTTTTTCTTTTTTCCTCTCATTACATAATGCCTGTTTTAACTCTTATTTGACTATTGATCCGGGGAATGTTGACCACTGCCTACCGCTCTTTTTTCGTTTTATTTAGTTATTTATTTTATGTCTTTCAAGCCTTAAATTGTGGGCTTCTGCCAGTTGCCATGAGACTTCACCTTCTCGCAATATGTTCTAAATAAATGATATTACAAAAAAAGAGCGACATTTATATTATAATTTGTGACAGATTTATAGACTTGTGTATATTATGCCTTAATTACCTCTGACTAAAAATAACAATAATTAAAATTAAAAAAAAACTTAAGTGTGGCCCTTAGGGATACAAAATGTATTTTTGAAGTAAATTATTCCCAATATCAGCTTTAAATCAAAATGAAGTTTATACAGTGGGCAGTGGCAGCTCAAATGGACCCTTCAATTTCATGCAGCCAATCAAACATGCGTTAAAATAAAATACTCAATCTTTTGGAATTCTTTCTCTTTCTATTCTATTGTTAATATAATTTCTTCGGGCATAGTCATTGGATTCCTATTCCTAAGAACAGTGCACAGGGACAGGGTTGTGAATATGAATGCATCACTGTTCTCGAAAAAACAGAGGATAGAAATTACTGGTCATCTCATTTTGAATTCTAAATCCCTGCTAATGCGATAAAAAGTAGAGCCAAATTGTTCATTTTTCACATTTTCGACTACTTTATTTGTCGAAGTTGTAGCTTGTCCGTGCAGTATCCATGGGAATGCTCCTCAACACCAAAGAAGAAAGACAAAATATAAAAACCAATGAATTCCCTTTTAAATATTACAAATGGGGTAACCTCGACATAAGGAGAGCCAATCTACTCTCATTCATATCCAAAAAGCCAAATTTTCAACTTGGATCCTCTACTACTCACTTTCCAGTTGTCTACCGGTATTCTTAAAATATTTGTTCAAAATATTAAAAAAATACAAAACATTTTTCAAAAATTCTAATACATTAAATGTACAAGTTTTTATTAATAACTTGTCATCAAAACATAACTTCAATACTAAGTGTTTTTAATGCTATTTTAAAACTTTAATTTAAGATGAAAATATATTATGAAAAATATAAAATACTGCATTAAATTTTGTCTCGAAACAATTAATCAATTTTGTTTTTGAAACATATATACTGCTGGAGGATGCAATTAATTTACTTTGGAGAGTTGTTTTGTGGCAATTTAGTTTTTGTTTTTGGTAAAATTGTGTGAGCAATAATGATAATAAAGTGGCATAGCATGGGGAATCTGGAATAGAGCGTTGATAGCAGAGCGACAGATCTCAACTGCACTCACTCTGCGTATGTGAGAAAGATCCCTGTCCTCTCTTTTATTATTTCTCAGTCTCTAACACAACACACCAAAGGCTTCGTGCCTTTTTATGTCTTATTATATCCCTCCCCAAAGGTATTGTGGGACCTACCTCCTTCAAAACGCAAGAACGTGATGTCGCAGACTCTATCTTCCTTCTTGCGGGACCAACAACCTCAACCTTCCTTTGTCCGTTCCACGTTTTGAATTTCAAATCTCGTAACGACAACTCAACTTACACCCCATCACGACACAACAACTCTCGAACCACATTCTCTCTCTCCAACGTTATAGTAGTAACCGAGTTAACTTCACACTTCATTCAAACCAGCAACACCTGATGGGTGCCTCAGGAAAGTGGGTAAAAGCGCTAATCGGACTCAAGAAACCAGACAAAGACGAGCATGTAAGTTTCTTTGTTGTTTATATAGCACAGCTCAATGTATCCTTAAAAGGTCAAGTTTTTATTTGGTTTGTAATGCTGTGTATAGGTGAAGGAGGGTGGTAAGAGCAAGAAGTGGAAGTTATGGAGGAGCTCTTCTGGGGACATGGGTTCGTGGAAGGGTTTCAAAGGGAACCACAAAGCAGCTTCTGAAGGGTCTGATTCTCCCCCTGTTGCAGTAAATGCTTTTACAGCTGCAGTGGCCACTGTGGTTCGAGCTCTTCCTAAGGATTTTAGATTAGTTAGGCAAGAATGGGCTGCTATAAGAATCCAAACTTCCTTCCGCGCTTTCTTGGTAAGACCCTTCATTTTTTATGTATAAAATATATTTATTAGACACATATGTTGGCTCAAACAAAGCAAAAGCACAAAACTTGTTTTCAAAACAAATGGTGAATTAGTCTGTAGTTCTCGTGTGAATGAATATGCACATCCAAAATGAAGAATACATGTTCAAATCTGCATACCTCATTCATTACGTGACTACTAGTTGTTTTCTAATAATCAGCAGTAGTTTTCAACGATGTTTATAATTGCAGGCAAGAAGGGCTTTGAGGGCTTTGAAGGGAGTGGTGAGGATTCAAGCTCTTGTTCGGGGGAGACAGGTGAGGAAGCAAGCTGCAGTGACATTGAGGTGCATGCAGGCACTGGTTCGTGTTCAAGCGCGAGTCAGAGCTCGGCGTGTGAGGATGTCCATAGAGGGGCAAGCTGTCCAGAACATGCTCAACGAGAGACGCAGCAAGCTTGATATTTTGAAGCAAGCAGAGGTGTCACCATAACTCAAACCATGTAAATTTGTTTTCAAGTTTTTTACTTTTTGTCGAGTCCTGTGTTTCTAAGAAAGATGTTTGTTAATGGGCAGGAGGGGTGGTGTGACAGTAGAGGAACATTGGAAGATGTCAAAGCAAAAATACAAATGAGGCAAGAGGGAGCTTTCAAAAGAGAAAGAGTAATAGCATACTCTCTTGCTCAGAAGGTAAGTGTAACCAACAATGTAGAAAAATGGCATTTTTTTTTTCTGTTTTAGAATGATGTTTGAAATTCTTGACATATATAACCAGCAATGCAGATCAACCCCAAGTTCTAATTCACGAACAAATACCACCTTTTCCTCTCTCAAGAATCATGAGGTTAACAAAGCTAATTGGGGGTGGAGTTGGTTGGAACGTTGGATGGCAGCCAAGCCTTGGGAGTGTAGATTGATGGAACAATCACATGCTGAAGGCCTGGAGAAAACCCCACCTCCAAAGAAGTTTGTTGAATCCTTTGAAATCACTAATTCCAAACCAAGTTTGGTAAAAGTCAAGAAGAACAATGTCACAACAAGGATTTTAGCTAGGCCTCCTCATATTGGGCAAGCTACTCGTTCATCCTCTAGTCCAAGTTCTGAGTTTCGGTATGATGAGAGTTCTGCATCATCTTCCATTTGTACATCTACAACACCAATGTCTGGGAACACTTGTGACAGGACTGAGGATAGCGGTAACACTAGGCCTAATTACATGAACCTGACTCAGTCCACAAAGGCAAAGATAAAAACAGGAAGTCAAATGTATAATAGAGCTCAAAGACAGCAGTCCATGGATGAGTTTCAGTTTCTCAAGAGGGCAGCGGTTTTCTCAAATGGAGATTCCAAAAGCAATTTTGGTTCTGACCCTTCAATCAACTTTTCTAGGCCACTTCACTTGGACAAGAGCTCAGTGAGGCCAAGGTGAGCGGATAAAAGCTGAGCCAACATGGTGTGAATGTGGTGGTGGAAACTCAACATCTCTTTTGTATTTATTTTTTTTACCTATTCCAAGAAGTTCAACATCTGGTTGTACCGTGCATTTTAATTGAGTTAGCTAGCTAGAAGTAGCTTATGTGCTTGATAACACTTGTGATGAGGTGTCTCCATTTGTATAATTGTTCATTTGCTGGTATTGATTGATATTGTTCCACGCTGAGAGACTTGTCCGGATAAATCAACTTAAGCAAGACTAAGGGAAACCATCATTTTATAAACACATTTAGACGAATTTTGTCATCTAATTTTGTTAATTTCCTCCCATAAATAATGCAATTCATTCATAAACTGATGGGAAGAGTGCCCAGCAGATATTTAAAAGCTAGAAATCATGATACTACTATCTTTTATAAACTTATATTCTATGCTATATGATATGATTGTTCATTTTCTTAGCACACTTCATGTTACAAGACAATATATAATTAATCTTCTGAGCGTCTAGTACATAAGCAAAATCTTAGCGGTTTACTTAGCAACTCTAGGTTCTTTTTATGGCTCTGAGCTTGACCCCATGCTTGAAATTGAGGACTATACCATACTCGAGTTCTAAAGGGTTTTCCATGTTAGGTGAATGCCGAAACAAGTATTTCCGATATAAATGAATAAGAGAAAGCTTGATCTCTTGCAGGGAAAATTTTTGACCAATGCAAGCCCGAGGACCAATTCCAAATGGTACAAAAGCATAGGGATGCCTTCGTTTCATTTCTTCACAATTGGGGTCAAACCTCTCTGGTTCGAACTTTTCTGGCTCTGGAAAGTTAGTGGGATCTTTTGCTAGAACTCCAAGAGCTAACCAGACCCAAGTCCCCTGCTTTTACAAAACCAGATTTAGTGACGACAAAAGTAAAATCTCTCCTTAATCTATGATTGTGATTCATGAAGAGTATATATCAAAACGGAAAGTTCCAAATATCATGCAAGGTGATGCAGTCTAGCTTGGGTAAACTCAAAGAAAAATATTTATATTAATTTTGTTTAAGGACTTCTCTAAAAATTTATTTACCCAAATTCTAAGACTTAACGTAGATAACATGTTCAATAAATATAAATATAAAATAAATTAAAATAAATATATTCAATTTTTTAAAAATTAAAATCAACTTATACGCCTCACCTTGTAAAAAAATTAAATGATATCGTAAAAATGCAAAATTGATCTTGATTTAGTAATCTATTTATATATTTTTAATATATAAACACTAACCGAAAAATTTAATCAAACTAATTTAATTTGTATCATATTACCTTTGGGAGAAGATAGCCTCCAATCTCTACCGGATTTGATGTTTCCCTTGCAACTAATGGGGAGACAGTGTAAAACCTCATGGCCTCTTTGATCACCTGCACAAATTAAACTGAGTTAGAGCATACAAAAGTATAATAATATATCTATAAGCATGGGCCTTGCAAGTTGGAACTAACCTGATCAAGATAAGGGAACTTGTCATGAAGTTCTTGGGAAGTGGGTGTCTGATCCACTGGACCAAACCCATCAATCTCTTGAAGCAGCTTTTTCTCAACTTCAGGATGTCCAGCAACCAAATAGACAACAGAAGACAAAGTAAAGGACGTGGTTGCTGACCCAGCAAGTAGATGCTCGTAAGTAACAGCACTGATGTATTCATGTGTGAACACATTCTCTGACACAGCTCTTGATTCCCTGGCATTTAATATAAGTGACAAGAAATCCTTTGAGGTTCTTGTCTTATCTTTCATTCTCTTTTCCACAATCTCATCAAGACGGCCACTTAGTTTCTTGTTGGTACGTTCAATCTTCCAATCCATAGTGCCTGGTATTCTCTTCAGAATTTGTCTAAATGGCTCTTGGAGTATTGGGATAAGAAGACCTAATATGATGGAAAATGAACCAGACATGTCCATTTTAAGTTGGGTTGTGGAGTAAATGTGTTGGTTTATGAAATCTGATACTTCATTACTGCCACTTTCATTGGTATTGTTAACACACTTGATAGTGTCACAAATAGAATGAGGCTTTGAGAGGCCAAAGTTGACACCAAATGCTGCCTGTCCAATGACATCAGTTGCCAGTCTGAGGGACAGATTGGAAAAAATAATGTCTTCTTTTTGAGAGTCAAGGTTTTGGGTGGCAGATTCTACGAATGATTGCATTGTTGGCACTAATCTGGATAAGTGTGATGGCTGGTAAACCGACAATATAGTGTTTCGCATGGTAGACCATTGTGAATCCCTGCACCACCATTTGCAAGCACTGTTTAGATATTGTGATTTGAATTTGGTATATAATTAATTATTAATTCTGATTTATAACCACTCAACAAGGTCAAAATATCTATTCAACACTTCTTATGTCTGTGTTTTTTTATCCCATTACATCAAATATCATATCCGTCACTCATCTCTCTACCAGCATTTTGCAGCATACGGGGCACATGTCACGACTAATGATCACAAATGGGAAATTTATATTCAATTTAGTGGGCAGACCACTAATGAAACCAACGTCTTCTTTTTTTGGTCAAAGTGAAACCAATGTCTAGTAAATGCCTTTTACAACGTTTATGCATAACCATTAAAATTTCATGCTATTCACTAGTGTGCATGTAAATTTTATTCTGTAACATGGCACAAGAAGTTGATGGTTAAAATATACAATAGATTAAATATATTTTTGGTCAAAATATTTTTTATAAATTTTTATTTACTTTTGCAATTATTTTTATGCTAATATTTTATTTTTAAATTTTGTTAGTAACGATGTTATTATCATGTATCATTTTTTATTTCATGTTATTTTTTTGTTGTGTTACATAAAGAATCAAAGGAATTAATTTTTAAAAGAATTAAGAAATTAAAATAAATTTTTTATTAAAAATATAGGGTAAAATATAGTTAAACAACAAACAAGTAAATCATGTGGTTTTACTATATTTGAGTAAATAATTAACTTTCTTTTAAGAGTTGTCATATTGACTCCTATATTTATGTTTCATCTTCAACGTTCGATAGCACCTTGTGTATACGACATTTTTTCTTAAACTGTTCTGGGTATTAGTTTTTTAGACCTTTTTCGTATTATTGTTGCTTCTTACAATATGCTGCCACTTTTTTCATGTTATTCCATTACTAATATAACTTAATGTCACTTCACAGGATTAAACCTCTCATATTGGAGGGAAAAAAATCATTACCAATATATCCTGATTTTTAAAGAAAAAAGTATTGGCACCCACAGTTTCCTATTTAGTCTACACTATTTTTTTTCTCAATGGATAAGCGTGATTCATGAGGACTAAACATTTTGAAATTTTATAAACTTATTTTAAAAAATCCTCAAATTATAAATAATTAACGAAATTATTATTGCTACCCTTAATATTTTACACTTCCATTATGTGTTTTTCTTTATGATGAAAAGAGAGACAGAGAGAAAATAAAATTTTCTGAATTTCTTTCGTGTAAAAGAAAGGAAAAAAATAGAATTTCAAAAAGGGAAATTAAAATTATGGAATAAAAAATCTTATAAAGCAACTATATAATGAAAAATGAAGACTAAGGGTATGTTTGTTTTTAAAAGAGAAATCAAACATATCCTAACATTACTAGTGTTGAAAGTTTGAGGGTTGCAATTTTCATACCGGGTGAAGAAGAGACCTTTTTGATGAAGAGGGGAAGCAGAAATAGGTGAGGGAATACTTCTGTTTGGAATATCTTTAAATTTTTTAATTCCGGCCTCTTTACAAAGTTCTGCATCTGCTATAATTATCAGTGGCTGTCTTCCCATATGAAACCTGCACCAGTAAATAATTGGAACACCAATAATAAACCTTACTCATGAAAACCATAGAATAAAAAAACAACACGTTAGAAGAAACAAAGACAGTGTTAACCATGTGCAACGCTAACCCCAAAAGACTATTAAGTAACTTGGAACGTAGTGCTTGATAAGAATGAAAATGAAATTAAAAAGGAGTAGAGAAAAAATGTTCGTCATAACAATATACATATCACACGGTGCTAAGTAATTTTCCTTTTCTTCTTATCTTTCACCTTAACATAATTTAGCATAAGGCAAGCTGCAGCACTATTAGCTAGCACGATTCCTTGAGACTACTGTTTAATGGTTAATGCCACTATGAAAATAATTAGTTGTTAGATTATGGTTACAGTACATGCTATCTAATGCTTAACCTATAACGAAATTGTAATGTCTTTTTAGAATAATTAAATTACATATACTTTATTTAAGAAGGATGACTGAAATATGCATATTAATTAAAAACTAAACAAAAAGCTTACTATATGTATAACCTCAAAAGCTTTATTTTTTATGCAGCACCAAACATATTGTTTAAGTATTTGACATTTGTGTGTATAACAAACATCCTTTTGTTCTTAAAATATGTGCTTAGGGTTTAGAATATTAAAAAATTTCTTAGTAAAAATTGACAAATTACCTTAAAAAATCTTTTGACTTTTTATTCTTATAAATCATTTTAATTATTAAATCAAAATATTAAATGCATTTTTATATTTTAAAATAATAAGTATATACACATTGTATTTAGAATTTATTTCATAAAATAATAAAAACATTTAAAAGATAAATAAAAGGACATAATAAAGTTCTTAATACGTTCATAGCACATTAATAATTGGTTCGGATTACGAAATGATTTGCTTAACGGTAGTCACTCCAAAAAATTAATTAGTTTATGAGCGTCAATAATATCCTTGGAAGATATGACTAACACAACACAGAATAGTTACTTATCACTCGTGGTAGGACCTATTAAATGATAGAGGTCTTATTCCCCAATCGGTGAATTTCACTGTATATTAAGTGCTTTCACATAACAATAAAAAGTAGTATATTCAGAAGAGTATATTAAACAATATTTTGTAGCATTTGCTCGAGTTGAGAAACACATCGATCAAAGCATTCTGGCGCTGGGTCCTTTTTTTCAAGTTTTTTCTTTTTAAATTGTATGGAATGAAGGAAGCAACTGAATAAACGAGAACACAACTAGGGCAATTGGATTATAGAATAATTACTTTTATCAATTTATATATAATTATTCTTCCTGCTCACAGGGACAGCGACCTACACCATACCACACACAACCAACTTCACAAGTCAAAATTTAGCTTCCAACATGATTCGGCTTAAACTCATCCCCGAAAGTAAGATCGATATGCTATCATAGTACCCTTTTCCTTATCAATCCAACGAAGGGGAAGAAAAGGAGAATAAGTATAATAAATCAAAACATCAATATGGTGCACTAAATATCAAGTACCAAAGGGTGCATATATACAATACATACATATATATGTAAGAAAAATACTAACCTGTAGATTGGGCCATATTGCTTGGCGAGGACTGAGAACACATCAGGACCATACTTAGCTAACAAAGGAAGGTGTCCTACAAGAGGGAGAGATGGTGGGCCTGGAACCTTCCTTACTCCCCAATAGGGTGCATACAGATAAACCAACAAGCCTCCTATTAAAGCCAGCAGAGTGAACATTGTTGAAACAAAAGGGACACTTGGAATTGGAAACAACCATTCCAAATCCATGAACATGTTTTATTTTCCTCGTAAGGAATGTATAAAACGAGAGAGGAGACAGGGGCTTTAATTAGGTTAGGGGGGGGGGGGGGCGGCCTCTAGTCTTAGTTTACTTCTAGTGCCTCATAGATTGAGGCTTATATTAAGGAATTGGAGGTACGAAGAAGGCTACATCAGGAGTGGATGAGAGATGGGGTTTTGTCCTTATGTGAATGATGACATGTGCGAATTAGATACCCTTGTACCCAATCCATTTCCTTCTTCATTCTTTTTGTTATATAATCAAATCAAATCTCTTTTTTTTTTTATATATATATGCAAATATATAAACAAAAACTATGATTTTCATGGGAGGGCAAAAATAATGTTGTATTATGAGGCATCCTTTTCCGTTGAAAAGATACCTACAGGCTCGTGCATATGTTTGTGTTGTGGACTTTGTGAGTGTGTGGGGGTATAAGTGCACGTTCACCAGAATCGGACACACAAACACAATCCACTATGCATCCTATTCCTATACCCAGCAGGAAAATGAAGCGTGGGAAAGAGTGTTTAGTCACGAGAGCGATAAATGAGCAAGATAATCATAATAGCATTATCCTCAGCCTAAAAGAACAAGGATAATAATCAAGAATCACCCATGAACCCTCTTATGCTTTCCTCGTTTTCTTCGGCATTTATGCTTCCTATTCTCTGTGTAAATTGGAATCATTGAATGCATTTTGAATATACTTCAGACACAGTTACCAGAATAGTTTATTATGACCTAACCTCACCTCATCATCATCATCCCTTCCCCACTATTAATTAAATATTAAAACGTTTCAACCAATAATATCAATCTTATCCAATACGAAACCTGAAGACACTCCTCTTAATCTTATGTTGCAACCTTCTACCCTCAATATAGACTTGCGTGCTTTCACTGGTTTCTTTCTCTCCTCTCACACACAGGTGCTAAAAGGTTAATTATAACCACTAATATATATTTACTTATTTAAAATAAATAAATAACAATACAATACACACATGCACACATTAATTTGTTGTGTTAACTTTAATATTGTAGCATCGGAGTTAGACTTAAGGTTAAAATAGATTATTTTATAAAACTTCAAGGTATTGACAGGTTCTATCGGAACACTTTTTTTTTTAAATTTCACAAATTAAATAATAGGAGTATGTATTATTTGGTTTGCTTATAAAACTAAACTAAACCCAATTTTAAAGCTATGACGAGGATCGATTTCAGAACTATATTATCTTTTTTTTTTTCATAAAATAATAATAATAATTTAGTTTTGATTAAACCGATTTAATATTAATTTAAACTGAATTTTGCATACAAAAATGTTAAGTTTACAATCGATTAATTAACGGAGTTGTCTGCTATAAAATAAACCGACTCTATGGATTAAACACTGAATTATATTATTTAAATTTTTTTAATATGATTTAATTGGATTTTTGCGTAGCTCGATTAAATAGTTTGTGTTAAACTCACAAATCTTCAATTAATGAAAATCTACAAGCCAGGTGAAATTATCCTAGATAAAATTTACCGAGTGTAAGTCTGACAAACTTATATCTTTGATAATTTTTATAAATAATAAATTTTATCAGTAAAACTCTTTAATCATATATATTATTAATTTATATAATACGTAATCCTTAGTTTAAAAACTCATATATCGATAATTTAATAATAAATGTTTATTTAATTATATGTTAAACACTCATATGTTATTGTATACTCTTACTTCATGATTTTTTTAAATAAATAGGTAAATTCATAATTTATATAAAGCGTAAGCCTTTCAAAATTTACATACAGTGTCGATGGATCTTGTGTAAGCGTGTGTGCATAATATTGAAATTTCTATAAGATTGGACACTCAACAAACTGTTAAATATCTTATTTTGTTGGACATAAATTGTGGCTATAATAATTAGTTAAAATATATCAAATTTATCACTCTATAATTATTAATATTAATCTATAGTGTCTTGTGGCTCTCCTAAAAAAAAATTAATTGAAAGATATACATTTTAGTGCTCTATTTATCCACCTTTAGCTTTTGTGGTGACTCGTGAGATATTCTCGTAAAATTTTTGGTCAATAATTGGCGGTGATCGACAAGAATATCATCTGAATTGTTTTGCTTCACTTGGAGTCTGAATTTCATAGGGGTATTGGATTCATCATTCTTCGCCGATGACAACTGAATATAAAAGGTTCTGTTAGCTATGTCTGTCGTCATTCAATAATGCTTAAGAATATGACATGAACCGGGCCAAGTTCCTTCCCCTTAATTCCACTCACGCAAATAATCCCCAATTTTTGTGCTTTGCTTTCGTGGAAGATTACCTTTTTATTAACAATCACATAAAACCTTTAATTCAATTCATTTTAAGGTTAGTCACGATATCCATTGATGATAATAAGGCCTAATCGTCAAATTTTCATTGAGACAATTGCCTAAAACTACGTAATTAATTATGTATGCATAACAGTAATTTAGATGGCCCAACACTATTTACACAGGAATGGCACATATTTTAAATTAATGGATGGGATCTTTAAAACCTGCATCACTGATGTTCTCTTCTGTGTGATTCTCCGGCATTACATTTGCGCCACTAACAAGTGCATGCTCATAACCATATTAATATTGTGTGTACGTAATACATTATCCTAATAATGAAGAAAATCCAACGTATATGTTATATTTTCTGAATGTAATTAATATTATTTAATTAATTTTTAAAGATTGGTTTCTTTTAAAATACAAATATTATTAAAATGAATGTAATATTTTCATATTAATATATTTAAAGAATTTAACATCTATTAATTGTGGTGATCTTATAAATATACATAATTATAGTACTAAATTATATATTTTTGCATTTAATAAAATCTAAATATACATAATTAAAAGAAAAAACAAATCGAAGGGGCTGACACCCACCTCGCTCCTCCCCCCAACCCTTTCGTTTATAACCTGAGTATAGACTCAACAGTAAGATTTAGGGAAAAAAATATAAATTAATATCTTAATATTTGGGTTATGAGCTACTTAATTTCTAAATTAGAAAAAGTATATTTTAACTTTTAAAGCCTTTAATATGCGTGGAATAATTCTTTAACTATTTTTTAAAAAATATCCTTAAAAATATAAATTGTATACAAATTAGTCTCTAACTTTTAAAAATTACACATAATTTAAAGACTAGATCGCATATAATTCAAATTTACGAGTATTAATTTGTTTTTTTAGTGCAATTTCAAAAATAAATCAATAGATTAATTAATAAGCATGTATTGAAACCCTTATTAATCAAAATGTACCTTTTTTTAATTCATGAGAACTTGTCTCGCATATGACCTCGACCTCAGACTATTAATTTATATTTTTTTATAAATTTGAACAATAAATCGATCATGTTTAAGCTTCTTTTTTTTTTTAAGCCGGAGCAACTATACATTACTCATCAAATACAGTTTGAAGAAATACCGTTTAAGCAAAATTATTTTTTTAATCTTCCATATTTGATTTAACATTCAAGTCAGTCCATCTTAGAATTTATAGAAAGTGTATAACATATCATCTTCATGACTCGAACAAGGTCAATTTAGACCTATTTGGAACATAAAATTCATACTCTTTATTACATAAAATCACAATTAGATAAAATAATAATTGAAAATTGCCAACTTTTTTTGTAGTTAATTTTTTTATTTTATCCTTAGTAATTAATTATTTCAAACACAAACACTAATTATTATATATAATTTTATATCATCTTTTAAATTTCAGCATAAAAAATGATTACTTTATACAGTTCAAACACAATAAATTTTTTTAAAACCAATTTTCATTTAACATATTCAAATACAAAAAGTTTTTTATATAGTTAATTATAATAATAAATAATTATAAACATAATCAATTATTAAAAAAATAATTAATCCAAACACACGTTAAGTATCCCTGTGAACTGGTTCACTCAACTCAAGCTTGTGAAAATTTGCAGGGCAATGATGCCCTGATGCAATTATTTACACCAAAGAAATGAGATATGAAATTATGAATGAGGTCGCCAACACAGGGAAAGATGGAACTGAATTTGACTTGGAATTGTGAAAATTTTGAGACAAAATGAGAAGAAAGGGAAAAGTAAGTCAAGGAATTAATGGATTAGAGATGGCAGCAAAGAAAGGTTCCATGGAATAGACAGCGACAGCTATATGACCGACGAAACATAATCTGTCGGTAATACTTATATGTCCTACTTGAGTTATTAATCAATAAAAAAAATCATTAAAAATTATGATAAATTTACATTATATATCATGACAATCACGTCAGTAATATTTTTTATCACTTAAATAATTTTTAATGATACTTGTTAACATTAAAAAATAAAATAAAAAGCATACTTTATTTCTCATATTCGAAAGGAATGCTTTTTTAAGAGAAAGATAGAGTCGAATCTAGAGAAAAAAAATATGTAAATTGATTAGAAAATAAATTGGTATGATTAAGTTTAAATGTAATTTTTTTTGTAACTCGAACTAAATCCACCTGACGGGAAATAAATTGATTCAAGTTAAGTCTTAAAAAAACTCTGTACTTAAAATTATTGATTTTGTTAATATTAATTTTTAAAATTATTAATAATAAAATTTTCAAGTTAAATTATGATAAAATACTAACAAAAATTTTATAATTTCAAATTAATTGTACTCAAGCATTGAAACCAACATATTCACTTTTTTTTTTATGTGAAATTAGGTTCATGAGGTCTACCCCGGTGAAGAACAACCGTTCCTTTTATTTTCCATTACGTGGATAGCATACTGCGTACTTATCCTCCATACTATTTCGCTTCCAAAGACCTAAGCAGGTTCATAGTTGTTACTTCTTCATAAATGACGACAATATATTTTTTGTTATTCATTATTACAAAGTTGTCAATTAATGATACAAAAGTAAATAAAACATTATATTGAAATATAGAAAACATTGAATGTATTTTTAAGTCATTAAAGACATTTAATAATTTTAAATTAAAATTGAGACAATATTCTTCTCTATTTAAAAAATTATACATAATTTATTTAACGATAAAAAAGGCTGATTCTAATATATATTTCCCATTTTCCTTGGTATTCATTTGGGGAGGGAGGGGTCATTTGAATCCGTACGACCTATCACCACGATTTGATGTCAATGCATTTCGGTGGACAGATACCAAATTAGAGAATTCACAAAAGTCAGAGTACGATCGCGTTTTTTTTCTAATTAAATTTTCTTAGCAACTTTTTAAAAATATTTGGTTCAAGAATTTGTAAGAAAATAACATTGCAATTTAAAAATTAGAAAAAACAAGTGTGCGAAAATTCAATTCAATTTATTACAAAAATTTAGTTTTTTTATTGGTCAAAAAATGTGCTACCTGAAAAAATGCTAAATGAGTGGAAGGGCTTGAGGGGCCTGGGATTTGCTTGGCACAAGCACTCCACGGGCTCATCCTAAGCCATATAACCCAAAATATTAGGGCTATAGTTTGGTCACCGATCAAGCCCAAACAATTTCCTTATATCAAAATCGTTATTCAAGCCCCTGGTTTCCATTGACAGGAAAAAAGTGCCATGGCTTCCACCACAGCACTTCCGAGTAGAGTTTTAATTTCACGACCCAAAAAATTTATCATTTTATACTGTTATCGTGTTTTTTTAATGTAACTTGACAGAATCATTTATATTAATTGAAATGCACGAGTGCCAATTACAAATATCTATATCTATACTTTTGGTGTTAGTTACTTCCAAAAACATTCTTAGTGTGTGTATACTGATGACTATACACCTACAACTGAAGAGAATGACATAAGCTCTAGATGCTACAATTTAAACTACCAAAGTGATGTTCTTAAAGCGATAAATATAGATCAGTAGAACTCATTGGTTCACAAAAATAAAGTAAGAGAAGATGTGTTGAAACTGGAAAACAAATGCTTATTTCTTCATTAATGATTCAATTTACAATAAACCGGGAGAGAACTGATATGGAAAGAATTGCGAATGATGCGTTTATTACAGAAACGTGCACTTTATACAATAATCAAATGATCTCATCCATCTCTCAAGTCTCAACACTGAAAAAATGACAATCCAGCAAATTTACGAGTAGATTAATACAACTTTTCCCAGTCAATGATTTGGATCATCCCTTGAATATCTTCTGCCTCCGATATCGCCTGCAAAAATATAGAATGTAGTTATTATAAGCAAGGCAACAAAGTAAAAAATAGCTTTGACACAACATATGCTGATTACAAAGGATACAGATAAAGAGCAATATCTTTTGGCCTCTTCAGCAACTACCACCTTCCTTGCTGCATACAAAACCATTCATATTCTACATCAATTACTATCACACAAATTATCAAACCACAAATATCAACAAAATAAAACAAGGAAACCGTACCACCGCAGTGCAAGGGGAAATTTAGCCGAGGCCAATGACACTAAAAATTCTACAACCAGTAACCACTATGTCCTCTACGGTTTGGACCCAACATAACCCATATGATCCACGAGATTTTTCAAGTCCTCAGTCCAATCATCAGGCCTTGCTACCAAATCCTCCACAGGAGCATCAATTTGCGAAAAATCACCAATCACAACCTCATCCTCAGGATCCCCTACAACCAACTCTTGCCTCAACAAGTCCTCCCAGATTGCATCACTCCCACTTGCAATTGGAACTGAACCCGATATTGGGTCTTTGATTTCACTGCTCGATTCTTCATCACAAGAGAAAAAAGACTCCATCTGGGACTCAATAGCTGCCAACTCTTCTCCATTTTGTTCCTCAAATGGAACTGCAGCAATCACAGGATCCTGATCCAATTGCAAATTCTCCACACTAGGAGAAGCAGCGAGTCTCCTCTTTCTCCTGACACCCTGCAATTCTCTCTTCTGAGCATTCCTCTGTAGAAGCTGTTGCACAAAAGATTGATTACTAAGTGCTTTGGCAAGAAAAGTCATCATCTGTTGATGTTTCTTCTCAGTAGCTTGCAACCTAGCTTCCATGGTCAACACTTGCTCCTTTGAATTGTTCTGTTGCTGCCTTAACTTCACAATTTCAGCCATCAACACCGTTCTATCTCTCCTCAGCCGTTCAACCTCACCTTCAAGCCCAAACTCACCCAACTCAATACAAGCCCCACCTCCACCCACGCTCTGCGGCTGAGTCACGTTCCTTCTTCTCTTTATCGTCTTCAACAAATGCTTCTGCCCCGCCAAAAACCCTTCATTCGCAAATTCCCATCGATCAGGATCAATCTTTCTGAACCCCTGCATTTACACAATAATAGTTTTCAAAGTTAAGTCCACTGTTTGTAAGATCAAACATGTAACATAACATCGAAAGAATAAATGTACTTACGTAAGTGTTGAGTTGACGAACGAAGCTGGAGAAATTGTTGTGTTTGAAGTAACGAGGTAAAACGGTGGTTGAGAACTTGTGAGAGTCCCAAACGACGAAACTGTTGCGTGCTCTGCTCCACGAAACGATGGAGTCAGTGGAAGGGTCTTCGACGACTTCGAAAGTTTTGGTCAGAAATGGAGGAGGACCCACCTCGTGCAACCCTTCCATGGGTTGAGGAGAGAGGTTGGAGGACGAAGAAACCGTGGCGAATGGCGCTGTCTCTTCCTCTTTCACTGTAACTCCCTTCATCTCCGTTTTCGGTTGTGTGTGGTTTTCGTTGAAATGGAGTGGATTAGCACTTGGTAGTAGAGGCATGGCGAATAAGGAATTTAAGGGAAAGGGTGAGGAAGATTCTAGAGACAGAGATAAATATTTTACCTCTTTCTGAAGAATGTGAGAAGGTTCTGCCATTTGTCACTCTGCTTTTGCTGTGATCAAAGATATTTTGTACAAGTTCTGGAAAGTTCTCGACTTATCGCTTCCTTCCACCCAAAATCCTTCTTTTTCAATATAGAGGACGCGTGTAGCCATAACCACGTTATCCATGTCAGTTCAACCAAGCCACTTCTCACTAACTCGTTTATTAGGATTACAAATTACAATTGTTTTTGCCACGCTTCTTTCATTTATATAAAATAGTACAGATTTTAACTCATCTCTTCGCGTTGATTAAAGGTTGTTAAGTATAATTAGTTTTTATTGTGATTATTTTTAAAAGATCTGCTTAACAGTAAGAGAAAATTTTAATGCCAAACAATTTTATGGTGAAAACTTTTTCAAACAAGTTACATTCAAGTTTTTAAATAAAAGAATAAATTAACATAAATATAATAATTTATTTATTTATTATCATCTCCCCTCCATCTCCTCCAAATTCTCTACCAAACAACTCTGATGGTGAATCTTAAACACTCCTATTAATTGAAAAATTGATCATGAAAACACTCTCTAGCAAACTTTGTTCAGAAAACTGTATTTAAGTTACATAACAGTATTTTTATGGTACACTGTTTTCTATTTATATATTCGGAATTTAAATTATATCCTCGTCTAAAACAAAATTTAATTGGCAGCGAATTTTTTTTTTATTTTGATTTAAAATTATATTGATCACGATGAAGGTAAGAGGGGACCAGAATCGAATGTTCTGAGGATAATTCTCTGCAAGTGATGTCACTGTAATTTAAGTAAGCTTTTACTTGTCCCACAGATTTCAAATAAAAAATCATTAAGGGCCGTTCATAGTCAAATATGACTGTAGAGGTAAAAATTATATGGATGTTTAAATTTATTTTTTTTAAATTATATTTTTCTTAATATATCTTACACTCGTTTTTTTTCAATACGATATCTCGACAACTTACAATTTTAATTGTATTTTTTGACTTTCGACCTTAAAAGATAAAATAAATTAAAACTGAATACTGACGGTTGAAACTTCGTCGTTCATAATCTTTAAATTAACAATCGAATATTTAAAATTAGTGATTAATAACACTTGAATTTATTTTAAGAAAACATTCTGAAATACTATCCCAAAATTATTTTCAGAAATAGTATCAGACATCGGGATATTATAAAAACAAAAATTGACAAAATAATTAAGAGTGCTGTAAATAAAAAAAGGGGTGGTGCAAAAAAACTGACAGGAGTCCAATACGCAGCTCTGGTTTTTGACTGGTTCGGTTTCTTCAAAACTTTTTTTTTACCAAAAACAAAGTTTATCCACTTTATTTCTGGGCTTACCTCTTTACAAAAGGCTTTTTATGTTTTTGGGGTCAAGACTGATTTGTATTTATATTGATCCTAAAAGTTCATTAAAAAAATAAGGCAAATTAACCTATTGACAAGCCCGTTAACAGAGCAGATATTTTGAATTTCTTTTCGGCTTTTGCATATTTCTTTTTTATATTTATAAAATTTAAATTTCAAAATTAATTTATAAATTGTACCTGGAATTTAACTTTCAATAGAGAGTTTAATAAATTCCGAACGGGAATTAAAGTTGTGGAATTTTAAAATAATAATAAATACATGAAATTAAAGATAAACACTTTATTGTATTTGGAATTATTGTGTTTGATTTGTGTAACAAAATTTAGCGACAATTGAATTTTGTTTTCACAAAATGTCCATTAACATGTATGGGAAAGTGTGGTAACAGATTTTATCAATTTATATAATTGAAGTAATACGTGAAATGGATGAAAGGAGAAAAGGTGGAGTTTGAATGGTCGTTAATGTGCATATAAATTTGGGGCATTGGAAGCAATAATAATAGGAAGGGAATAAAACTTTGACGAGTTCCCGGAACCGTGACATGTGACTTGCACTTTATGGGACATATGCTAAGTTAATTAAACAAGATTTGTTTATTCCACAATTTTAAAGATTGAGACATAGGGAGTCACGACAGAATTCAAATAAATGGACTTGTTTTTATTTATGCAACTTATAAAATCAACCACTAATATAAAGTCCTCCCATTGAACCCACCCACTGTCAAATCCATTAAAGATTAATGCAATGCATTCATTTGATGGTAGCTATGTATAATCACGCTGTTTTTTTTTTATTTTGCAGTTCATGATTTGATTAAAAAGTTGCTTCCTCACACAAGGGGAAGGGGTAGTAGGCTAAGAAGCACTCTTGGTCCACTCTTGCACATTGCATTTGATCCACTCAGCCACATCACATATCAATATTTCCACTGAGATTTCAGAATCCATTCATCCAATCCCACAGAAACCTTTCCGAAGAAGAAAGTCGCAGCAAACTCTTGTCGTCTAAGGTATATATCCTCAGTATATGTTTGTTTTTTATCACCCTCCATTGCCATTAACTCACTACCTTCTCATTTAAAAGCTCTGCGCATTTTAAAATTTCAATACACACTAAAGCTTTTCCACCAAGTTGTTTCATTATATTACTCTCTTAATACCAAGATCATAGAGACAAGTTGATTTTCTTAAGGGGATTTATGGGAGCTAACCATGTAATTTTGTTCATAAAATAGAAGTTATAAATGGAAGTAAAAGTGAAGGTGGATCCATGAATGGGTTTATAATAAGAAAGAATGGAGAGTGCAGTAGTTGACTGAACCGGGGAATGAAGGAAGAATAGAATGAGACTATGACTTGGAAAAGTTTCAAGTCCCTCTGATGATGATTGATGATGTCATGGCCACACCATTCCTTTGCCCGTTAAGTCTGCTTTTTACCACACAACACAATGCCGTTAACTTTTACTCACGTCACGCTTCAATCTCACCGTTCCACCTCCAACTCAATGTCACGTCACCACATCATCATTTTTTTAATATATATATATATATATATGAATTATAAAAAATATATAAAAATATAAAATTAAATAGTCGTCATTGATAATTTTTAGTATAAATACTAATAAAACAAAAAAATTATACAAAATTATTAATAATGATTTTTTAAATAATAATAATAATTTAAAAATAAAATATAATCACTGACAACTTTAAAAAATATGAAATTTTTATTAAAAAATACTGTGCAATCTTTAAAAAAAAATTATATTTGTATTATCTTTTTTGGTATTTTTTATATAAAAAAGAGCCTATGTAATAAGAATTTAATAAGTAATATAATATTTAATATTTTTATACAACTTTATTATATATATACATATATATATTTAAATCCACATTAAAACTATTATTTATTTTTCATTATAAATGTTACTTTATTTTGATTCTATTTTTTAAAATTAAATAAAATAATAATGTTTTTATATAAAAAAGTTATTTTAGAAATATTCTTTTTTAAAATAAATAAGCTCCTAAAGTTCTATGCTAATTTAACGTCTAAATTGTTTAAATTTGAATGAAATTATTTAGAAGTTATCAAATAGAAATTTGTTAGTTAAACTCAACTATGAGTTAGCGTTAACGAAAATGTTACGTGACCGTAGACATGTGGCAGGATGTTGATCCCTTAGAGTGACATAAGTATTGAATAAATCACAACCTTTAAAATATTTTATAAACATAAACTTTGAAGCTCAGTGAATCAAGCAGAGTCAAATTTTGCACTAATACACGCTCACATGTGGCACGAGGACGGTCGTAGAAGAAAAAAATCCCCTCTCATTTCAATTCCCTTTTCCTCCCACTTTTGTTTTCGTCAACCACTGGTCATCTACAGAAATGAGAGAATAACTCATTTTCTTTAACTATCAAAACGACATCGTTTAATGTAACCATTAACCTGATATATGTGTTATAGTTTTGCTTTTCCTTTGACAGCGTTATCTATGCATTATTGTGAATACTAAGTTACACTCATTAATGTATGAATCAAAATGACCACTAAATTAATTTCACTTTCTTTGAAAATGAGCATAATTGACCTCCCATCTTTGAGCAACTAAATGGGTTTTCACTTGAGCTCCAAATTCTCGGTGTCCCCGAATGAGCGTAAATGACATGGCTCACGCGCGACAACAACCAGAGTCTAAAGATCTCGTATCGGAGTATGCATCAATAGAAATTGATGTTTCGCGATATATAGTTAAAGAAAACATATAAATGTCTACCTATAATATGGTTCAGCAAGCGCATCTTGTCAAACATTTAATATTTAAAACTAATAAAAAAATAAAGCATGGCTGGTTTTATGGAGGGATCGACTACAATTTATCAGAAAAAGACAACCGAATCTCTTTGTTTGACGAATCCAATTGCGTAATACATACATACGAAATTAAGCATTAAATTAAGATTCCAATACCATAAAGTTTCCTCCTCTCTATGGGGTTTCATCTCTGAACTATAATTTTGAGTTTGGATCGATAATTCTAGCAGTGATTTGAGTTTTGGTCTATTAAGACAATTTAAATCTTCATAATTTATATAAATTATTATTTTTTACTTTGCGTCCGTATGTGAGTTTTGAAGTAGATGTATAATACAATAATGATGGAAAAGAATGGCATAAGCGCGCGTGGGATAGGTCGAGTGGCAGGGATTATAGAAGATGAAAAACACTAGTTTGTGATGTAAGCAAGCACGATTTGGACCTTTTGTATTTATAAAACAAGAACTCCCTTAAACTCAGTTCCACCTATCCACTTCCTCACCCTTGAGTTTCACACACTGAAAAAACCCAGTAATAGCGCAGGGGGGGGGATGCAAGACATACGGTGCTTCTCAAACGACGTCGTCCACCTCCACTTGAGTTCCTCTATGACCAACTCGTCTTCCTTATCGATGGAGCTGGACGAATCCACGGAGACCCGAATCCAAAGGCTGATATCGGAGCACCCGGTGATCATCTTCACGCGATCCTCCTGCTGCATGTGCCACGTCATGAAGAAGCTCCTCGCCACCATCGGCGTTCACCCCACCGTCATCGAATTGGACGACCACGAGATCGCCGCCCTCCCTCTCTCCGACAACGCTCGCGCCCCCGCCGCCTTCATCGGCGGCACCTGCATCGGGGGTTTGGAGTCCCTCGTCGCCCTCCACGTCAGCGGCCACCTCATCCCCAAGCTCGTTGAAGTCGGTGTTCTCTGGGTATGACTATGACCAATATATATCATTATCATTCCCATAATTTTTATATAAATATAAAATATAATATGCTATAATTGCTAGCCTACCTAGCTATTATTATTTCGGGGGAGAGAAAAAAAAAAACATAGCATAACTAATTGTATAATTTAGGGTTTCGTACCTGTGGCGAAATCCTAATTTGTGTTTTGGTGTTGTAATTGAAAATAGTACAAGAGAATTTTAATTTAGGGGGTTGTTTGGGAAGAGGGAAATGAAATACTAGCGGTGGAATTGAATTAATGAAGCTGGGAGTGTGGTTTGCGGAGGCAACACGTGTACAGGAAGGAACGGTATCCATCGTCACTCATGAGTTGGTAATAGTAACGACGTGAATTTGGCCATGGCTTGAACGGTGTACTGAGCGAATTGATCGGGTCCGTAGATTGGGTCCCATTGACAATTATTAAGCAATCGGGGCCGTAGATAGGGCAATAACTTTGTCAGTTTGTTTCGGGAATCCTAAGCTTATCTATTCCTCTTCCCTTTTACCACTATGTAAATTTTATTTATTTCCGGGGGTAAAATTATGCATTATGCATTATGCTATTTTGTTTTATTATTTCGTCGTTTTCTTCGTTTTCTTCTCTCTTCTTTTGGTTTGAATGAGAATGGCAATCTGGGTTGTGGGTATTTTGGTTTTGATTGGGTAGCAGTGGGACCATGACAAGCATAATCGTAGCCGTTCAAGCGAGGGATGTTTTCCCTTTTTCATTTTGGTTGTCCCGTCTGGGGTTTAAGTCGTTAAGGAACAAAACAAGAGTTGTCAAAACCTAAAAGTACTTTGGAAAGGATGATGATGATGAATAGGTTGTGATAGAAACATATGTGACAAAGGCATGCACCTCCAATAATTGCAAACATATCAACTATATGTTGTTGAAATCCTACACGGATCTTTTCTCTTTCTCTTTCTGGTGCGCTAGCTGGCCCCTTAGTACACATCCAAATTCTCTAATTCCATGGCTAGCTAGCTGTGTGATGCCGTCCTCTTCAAATCAATTAATATGCTGTTCTTATTATCGCCCAGAATCATTTATGTAAAAGGGCTTCCATAGTGGAAACCTACAAAGCCACCGAAACTGATAGATAATTGGATCATAACCATGCTCATCAGCTTTGAATCTTCATATTGTATATCAAAATTAATTATTCAAAAAATGAAGTTTACTTTATTAATTTTTGTCCCCTGAAATTAATTATTTTTTAATCATAAGTTGAGGAATATCCTTAACATACAAGGGAAAAAGAGGGTAAAAAACCTGCATCTTATTATTCTCTTGTTAGATTTAAGCTTTTTGACTGCATCGGTGTAAATTGCCTTTTCCTTTGGGAAAAATAAAACAACTGTATTGTTTTGAATATGAATGGTAGAATCTTTCCATTTTTTTTTAAACTTTCGCCGAAGTCCCACATTAAAAACTAACTAGTAAAGGGAATCACCCTACACTGTCATAGCATTATCGTTTCACTGGTTTTGCTTCATCAAATTGTGAAAAAAAAAAACGTATATATTCGTATGGAAAATGTCATAGATATTTTACTAATTAGTATTGAATCTAGCCTTCACAAAAGTAAAAGGCATGAATACATTCAAAGCTGAAACAGGGACAAGGACAATCGTATCAAATCGTTGACATCATGCAGTGAGACGAGCCTGTGCGTCATGGCATTCTTGCCCCATAGACCGAAGTAAGCTTTGGGTCTCAACTTTATAGTTTCGAAAGTTTAAACAATGACTTTCGTCAGCATTTAGCAAGAATCAACGTTGCATTATGCCAAGTCAGCTACAAACTACTCCTCAAAAAGGAAACCAATAACAAAAGAGTTAAGCAACCAAGCACCTAGCGGGGTGCTTTCTTCTTGTTTTCAAGCAAATGGGTGTTTTCTACGTACTAGTTATTAATAATATTAATATATTCGGGCGCAAAAATACTAGGAAAACGAATTGTTTTAGAAATTTTAATTAAAATCTTGGGGATTTAAAAAACATCAATAGCAGTTGCATAGCACGGATGATATTGGTGTGGTGCCAAAAAGAGAGTACAAATATAGAAAAACAATGGGTGGCAAGATCTTTTCCCAATTAAGGAAAACGAAGGAGGCATAGAGGTGATATAATTAAGGGTAAGAGACCTAAATGCTAACCTCACTTTCTCACCATGTATGTGACCCAATGATTTTCTCCTTTGAGTTGGGAAAAGACAGAAGACGATGACATCAACGACCTCAACCACTACAACTACATCAACAATCCGAGAGTGAGTGAGTGCGTGTTTCACTTTCCAAAATTTCTGCTTTCTATAATGCAAAATCAGACGTGGCAAGCATGCCGTGGTTTTTATTTTTTAAAAATGGCGGATCTTATTAGAATCTTAGAGCCTGACGTAAGCACAATGATTCTATTTCCATGCTTCTGGTATGGACGAACCGCATTCAAGACATCATTAAGGTTTTAAAATGCAAATTGTGTTTAAAAAATTTACAGATAAACAAAATTAGGCACCCAACGTGAAAATGGCAACAGGTGATGCACTTTTGCTTTAAGCTGCTCATGTCAAAATCAAATGCTCCATAATGCTTGGGCTTTAGGTATTGCACACTAGTCCAACATCAAAAAGCTTCTTTAATTATTTTATGACAATCAACGTTATTTTTTCTACTGTCCTTTTTTTAACCACACCGTTTTTTTAGAAATAAAAAATAAAAAATATAGTAGTCATTTTCAAAAACTAAAATTTGGACTTTGTACCTCACTCACTTTCAAAAGTTAGCTCATGTCAAAATCAAATGCTCCATAATGCTTGGACTTTAGGTATTGCACACTTGTAATCCAACATCAATTAGCCTCTTTAATTATTTTATGATAATCAATGTTGTTTTTAATAAAAAATATAGTAGTCATTTTACTAGAATTTGAAAGAGTGATGTTAAGAAATTTAGGCTTTGGACTCCACTCACTCTCAAAAGCTAGCTCATAAGTGGAGGATTATCCTAACCTTTATAAAGAGTATTATGCTTCTATTCTTAATCAATGTGGGACATCTTAACACACCCCTCACGACCAAGACTAAACATCTGGTGTGTGAAATTTATAGGACTAGACATTTGCATGGATGGACCCAACAAAACTAGACATCTGTGGGTAGTCCAACGTTCAAATTGAACAAACTCTGATACTATGAACTTATTGCTAGTCCATAAAAATACTATTTTCACACCCTCCACCCAAATTGTGATGTATTTTACAGAAATAAGATTAAAAAAATGATATATTATTTAGATCCCCAAATTGAATTGGTTTAAAAAATATCATGTCCTGTGTAAAATAAAAGTCAATTATATTAGACTTTCTTGATAAATAAAAAATGATTTTAGTCAACTTCTGTTATGTCGCCTTCCTAACCATCGGTCATAGAAGTTGGTTATAATTAACTTTGATTAATGTATAATGTTGTGTATAAAGTCAATTATAGTTGATTTTAGTAGATAGGAGAAAAAATAAATTATAATAAATTATCAAAAAGTTTGAAATCAAGTTTAATAGATTATTTAAAAAATAACAGTAGTCAACAAGAGAGAAAAAAGGAAGGAAATGAAAATAAATATTTTGAGATAGAGAAGGTGGTCTAGTGTAATTGTCATATTAGAAGTAAATTATTAGAGTAAGTAATTTTTTTTAAAAAATTATTTCATTGTACTTTAATTATTTATTAAATTTAATGTGTCAGTAATTATTTAATTGTCTATTTAAAAATATTTGTAAGTATTAATTTAATTATTCTCTATTTAATCACTTTTAATTATTTTTTATGATAATGTAATGTATATTATATATATAACACATTGTTGCCCTATATGTAATAAGCATGACCAATAGTGATTATGATGAATATGTATTTTAGACATTTAATTATTATGTACTTTAAACTTTTTAATTTTATGCGTTTGAAATTAATTTGGTTACATATTTTGAAAGATGATACACAGTAAATTTAAAATTAAAACTCGTATGTTTATTTTCTACCATATCATTATAATTTTTACATTCAATCTTAAATATTTTTTTTAACATAATAAGTAATTTTAAAAATGTGTTAGTTTATACTAAAGTAAATTATAATTGACTTTTTTTTTAGTAAACGAGAGAGCAATCAATTATAATTAACTTTTTAAAAGATTTAAAATATAGTTTAATCGATTATTTAAGGGACAACAAAAGTTAATATGCGAGAAAGAAGAGAAAAAGTGAAAAGAAAAAGGAATGAGGTGGAAGCAGATATTTTGAGGTAGTGGAAATAATCTAGTTTAATTACCATAAATAATTTTATATTATATTACAATTAAAGAATTAGTGCAGATAATTTTTTTAAAAAATTATTTTACTGTACTTTAATTATTTATTAAATTTAATGTATTATTAATTGTTTAATTGTATATTATATTATATTATATATATATATATATATATATATATATATAATACATTGCTCGAACGCAATAAGCATCACATGTAATGATTATAATAAATATGTATTTTAGATATTTATTATGTATATCTAAGACTTTTAATTTTATATACTTGAGTTTAGCTTAATTATATATGTTGAAAGATGGTAAACAATAAATTTAAAATTAGAATTCTTTTTATTTTATGTTATTTCACTGTAATTTTTATATTTAATTTTAATTTTTTAACATAGTAAATAATTTTTAGAAACGCGTTAATGTATATTAAAGTTAATTATAATTAACTTTTGTTTTATACTAAAATTTATTTTAATTGATTTATATTTGTCAATATGTTAGAATTCAAAACATTGAAAGTAATTATAACTATAATCAATTTCTATGTGAAAAGAATTTCAAGATTGAAAGTCAAGCTAAATTAAAACTGATGCATATACCTAATGTATTGTTTATTTTATTTTATTTATGTTAAAAAGTTCAAATTATGAAATCTAATATCATTTTCTTCATATATCAACTAATTATGGAATTCTTTTCTCTCCTTTTTATTTGTTTATCTATTTTAAATTTAGTTCTATTCAATATAATAAAATATTTAATTTATAATTTATAATTTTTGTTAAAATTAAAATTAGTCATGCAATATATCTCTAATTTTGTTTAAAATATTTACTTTAAATTAATAATATTCTTATGATGCATGAAAAAAGCATTAGTCTTTAATATATATTTTAAATATTTAAAAGTAATTAATTATCATTAAAAAATGTTTATTACTTTTAGTTGTTTAACACTATTTCTAAAAACTAATATTAACATTTTCATAAAAAGAAAAAAGAACTAGTACTATGAGTAACCTCGTAAAGGGACTTGTTTGGAGTCTTGCGACTTGCTGATTTAACGAGTTTAATGCCGTATCACACTCTACGCCACTAACTAGGTTTCTTGGCATTTTGTCTTTTAAACAAATTTTTGTTACCCTTTCTGTAAAGGTGGCTTTTTGTTACCTTTAATTGGTTTATTTTATTTTTCACTATTTTAGTGGCTTGTTGGGCACTGATAAATTTTGGGCCAATCTCCCCCCAATTAAGTTATGCACACGCTTGACTCTACTCTAGCATTGTTGTTAACACCTTGCATTTAAAATTAGACAAAGAACAATGAGATATTTAAATAGAAAATCGAAATTTTAGAAAATATTTGATTTCTATTTTTAAAAATAAAATATAGTATAAATTTGTATTGTATTTTATTTTTAAAAATAAAAAAAAAAATCAAAATGCTCGTATTTGTCACCAATCAGAATCTGAATCCGCACTCATCATATTTCTGATCTTAATCTGTGTAAACAATTGCAAATGAAAATTAGTATAGCAGAGCCACAAACGTGGCATTAGCATTGGAATGTGGCATCAAACACGAATTTACAAATGAACTGAAATGGAGCTCATTTGTACCTTAGCAAAATTATCCTAAGCCTCAGAATCAAAATAAAGTTGTGTCCTTTGGTGTCAAAATGAAATCAACTAACCTGGGTAAGTTGGTGCTCTTACAATCTCCCCCAGTTCATAAATTTCTTAACTTCATCATACAAGACTAAGATAGCAGCAGCCCCTGTGCTCCTAAACACATTAGAAACTGCACCACGGTAAAATGAAGCCAACCCCTCTTTCCGATAGATCTTCCTCCAGCAGTCCAAGGTGCTATTGTACACTGGCTGTTCCATGCCAGACTGCATCATCATCCTCCTCCGAACTGTGTCTAATGGATAAGATACCAGCCCAGCAGAGGTTGTCACTGCCTGAGCTACCACCCAACGCTTCCACAACACCAACTCCGGTTTTGATTCTTCAGACAATATCTCTTTCATGGTGTCAAAGCCTCCAAAATAAAGGCCCCTATGCACCACCATCCCATGTAGAGATGCAGGAAGGCCCCTGTAGATTCCCCTAATCCCGTCCTTATGGAATATGGTAGCCAAAAAATGGTAAATGCCGCGAAATTCGCGCACTTCTGTCCTTCCAACGTCCGCAGCGAGGCGGGTGTGTGCTATATCAAGGGGGTATACCAAGACAAGCGTTGTACAACCGGCTGCAGCCCCTGCAATGAAATTAGCAGATGCACCCGAGAAAATGTTATTATCACTAGAGTTTCCACCTCTTAACATGCTTCTGTAAAGATCCTGTTGAAAAAAAATAGACGATCTATTAAGACTCTGCATCAACCGTAACATTACATGTTAAGCTTCAAATATACTCTTGATTCAGTTAAATGATTGAATGATGACAGGCAGAAAGACCAAAAGAAGCACATTGTCATGCCAATTGTGGAAATAAACGTTTTTCTATTAGAATATTGGATGTTATATTTCATTGAATGCATGAGTAGTGAAGTTGTAATGTCAGTCATTCTCTATTTTACACCTTTGAGCCACACAACACATGGCTGTAAAAGGACATAAAGGATCACGTGTGGAAAAGGAGGAGAAAATAGCAAAGCCGGCAAAAATACTCTTTCAAGATTATTAGAACTGCTCTTTGGAAATTTAATAAATAACTAACCTAGATACTAGAGTTGAATAGTTGGGTTGGTATTTTAGCACGCATATGCATTCCACACATTCATTTCAACCCTAGGTTAGGACACCAAAAACAGTTAATAAAGGCCACATTTTTACTCACACATCAATATACTCAGTCCCGTCATCTTCTAGACATAAAAAGAAACATTATAAAGATAGATTTTTAGCCACATCCACATCACGTTAATCACATCCTTAGGAATGCATTGTCTTAAAAGAGAATTAATGCTTATGTCCTTTCTTTTCTATTTGCGATAAAAAATACGGCCAGCTATTCTAAACCTCTATAATTGCATTAATTAGGAGCTACATCAAATTCTTCAACTATAGCAGCAACGTTATTTAAAGTGCATTTAGTTAGAAAATTTTCAGAAGATTTCTGAAGTTTCTTCAATCAGAAAAATTTCTGGAATTTTTCACAAGATCTGTCTGAGAGAATAGTGCCTGTTTTGCTTCTAAAGATGAACATGTCTTCAGTAACCAAGGATCTATCAATTTCCTTTTCTCCATTTTGGCATCATGACCAAGTATAAGTTTTGGGATTGCTTTATTTATTTTTTTCAAAACTTAAATATAGTACTATAAGTACTTTTTGGTGATATTTCCCAATTAAAATTTGCATTTCATCTCAGTCATCATAGTCAATTTTAGTTACCAAGATGAAGGTAGTGGTTATTAAGATGAAATGTCAATTTTAATTGAGAAACAACATCAATAGTACCTACGGTATTATATATAAGTTTCCCCTTTTTTTTTCCCAAGACAACTGCACTAAATAAATAAATAAAAAAAGTGACTTGGATCAAATTACTGATGGCATTGATCTCAAAACAGTCTAGTTGTCTCATCCCAAATTGCATTGAAACATTCCATTTTTTTCAGCTCCATCTTAAAACCAATCTCAGACACAGTAATTAAAAATAGAGACAAATTATGCTTCTATAAATGGAAATTCTTCTCAAGAGGCAAAGGAAATTCTGGCCTAAAGGAATTAAACTTCAAACTAAATAAATAATGAATGAGTCTATATGATACAAGGCATTAAATCACCAAGTCCCTACTTTTAAGTGTCTAGAGTCTCGACCTAATTCTTATGGTACAATAGGTCAATGAATCAGTTATTTTGTTGATATATATATATATATATATATATATATATATATATAGATATATCATAATTTAAAAATGTTGATACATACATGTATTATAGGATCCAACTTCCAATATTTTTCAGCATGCATTGGCATCCACACCGTGCATTTGTGAAAGAGGTCTTACTCCCACTAGAGACTGAAAAAGGGTTTCCAATAAACACTTGAAAAACAGAAGACAAAATCCACAAGAAATTTCAGGTGAGCAGGAGTACACTCTCGTTTTAGTTCCTACAATTGTACATGTCGATCACTTTCAATCTCTAACTTCATAGTACCTTCATTTTAGTCTTTTTTCACTCTATTTGTCATTGTCATTTTATAATAAAAGGACTAAAATAAATGTTATTTTTGTAAAATCAAGGATCAAAGTGAAGATTTTGTGAAGTTAGAAACTGAAGTGACCCAACGCTCGCAATCTAAGGACTAAAATAGGAGTTTGCTTATAATTTACGTCTAAATGCTAAAAATGCAGAAAGTCATACAGAAACATCAATTACAATAGCAAGCAATTCAAGAAACAGCCTAATAAGGGTAAAGTAAAAATCTAGTAAAGTTCAAAGAAAGAGGTGTTTCGATTAAAGGTGGACAGTCCGTGATAATATCCTAAAGGCAAGGGAAGTAGGAAAAGACACATCAGACTTCTGCACAATATCAGCGTTGATATTGTAGCAGCAAGAAAATAGAAAAAGGAATTACAAGAACATAAAGGAAAACGAAGTTGCCCTCTCGACTTAATAGTATGTATAACCAACAGCTTTGCACATTGCTTCCATCCCAAATTTTCAGGAAATGACCAAACCCAATTGAATCCGAATAATGGTGTTTGGATATGGATTGAACGAACTCCTTCCATCCCTCTTTTCAGGTCAAGATACCACATGACATTCTCCATTGAACATATCATGCAAGACCATACAAACACGAAAGGTAATAATAAAAGAAAGATAGAAGGTAATATAGAATAGAAAAAAGAAAAGAAGAGGAAACCTTGAGGGAAAAATTGAGAGCAACAGAAGGGTAATAGCGAATAACACTGCTACCATTGCCACGCCACAAAGAGAGAATGCCTTCTTCGGTGACAGTGCGGCGTATGCAATCGAACATGCCTTTGAATTTGCGACGACCACTTGCAACAATGGCCAAATTGCTTTCTTGGGTCTGTAACAAAAGCTTGGCCCTCTCAATCGGGGCGACAATGGTGTGAACAAACCCACCCATGACCGCCCCAGCCATGAGATCGCGGTGGAAGTTGCTAAAATGTGAATTCGACGCTTTTTCTTGCCTTGATTTCAATCTCTTCCTTTCTGGGTCGTCATCCTCTGCGCTCATCTTTCTTTTCTTTTCTCCAAGTCACAGACTTTTCTCAGAGGGAAAGATCCCCATCATCACCAAAAAGAAAGAAAGAAAACGGAATCGAGAGTAATTTCAAAAGAAGGAAGAAAGGAAGCTTATCCAGAAATGAAATTCGAGAATTCTGGAAAGAAAAAAAAAGGAAAAACACGGAACCAAGAAAGTTGCTTTGATTTGCTAACGTGGAATGGCGTGGTTGATGAAGGAAGGAGAATTCATTCGTTATTCTATTTTGACTTTACGGTCGGGCAATACTCATTAGAAAACCACGTTCTTTAACTTCGCTCGCTACACATGTAATAATCATCATTAAAGTAAAAACTAAATAAATTATAGATTTGATTAAATACACTTACATTTGTCATTTAATTATATGTTATTTATTTTAATTATTTAACAGTATATATTTTTTATGTTATCAATGTATCAATGTATTAAAATTAAACTCATAAATTATATTAAAAAATTTATACAAATAAAAAAAAAGATTTTGAGGATATGATTCTGTTTTGAACACAAATGAATGGTGACCAATATTTTAAAGATATCAATTTAAATAATTTTTTAACGAATATATCTTTATGTCATTTTTAATTAAAAAATTATCACTGACTCTTTAATTAACGTCCTTAAAAATTAGTCAACAAAACTCTTGAACATACTAATGAAATCATAGAGTGCTTGTACTATTTTGATTGTATCCTTTTCTAGTGTATTTGGCAAGGAAGAATTTTATGGTTCTTGGATTTCCTCTTTTGATTTATCGAAGGGGTTATGTTGTGATTAAATCTTTGATTTGGGGAATTCCTAACGTATTTATAATAATGGCTTTCATTTTTTCCCTCTTTGAATTTATTTGTTTTTATATGCAACTACGATAATATACAGTTGCCTCACTGTTTGCTTCAAGCCTAAGCTGCATTAAAAAATGGATTTTGAGGTAAATTTTGTATTCAAAATTAGTTTTAAAACTGATTTATCTTAAAAACAGTTTTGAAAATTAATTTTGACTCAAAAATGATTATAAAAATTAGATTTTATGGTCGACTCTAATTTGGCCAATGAATCGAATTTGAATTAGTTGTATCTAGTAATCAGCATGCTCGCTAAAAGAGTGGGATCTCATCAGAGTTAAGAAATGAGAATTTTGGCGCAGTGCAGGCCTTGTGCTTGAGAAACAGGGTATGGTTTCACTCCCTTTTATCATATTGCTACATAGTGCATTCTGATTTTAAATTATCAAATAGTATATTATTTATTTAATTGCCATCGATATCAAATTGTCCTGGGAACATTTATTTCTGTGGCACAACAATCATGGGGAGAATATGAATGAAGGAAAAGCAAAAGCTTGATTTACATACACTAATTTTAAAAAAAAAATTCTCAGCTACAGGATGTAGCTTATGCTTTTCTGGTGGCCAATCTCTGCTTTCTTCATGGACCAAGCATTCAGTTTTGAGATTAGCACACTCTTGGTTCCATTGTTAAATACATAAAGATGAGCTTCTTGGCCAGTAGCCATTAAGGGATAAACTCTACTGGTGATACAAACTCTCCCTCCCTCACCAAAGCTTTCAATAATGGAGTGGTCAATCTGCAAAATAAAAACATATACACAGATAATCACACTATAAAGCACATAACGAAACCACTAGGAAAAGTTAATCACAAAGAATTGGCATACCAAGCTTCTGAGTGAAATCCTTCTGAGGTTGGGATCTACATCAAAGAAAGTTCCATATGTCGTTTTATCAAGGTCCTTCCTCAGTGAAGACCTGTGAAGTTTAACGAATTCTCAACCACATATTATTGAGATGATTCAATCTCAAATCCAAATATTGGTAATAGGGTCAATGTCAGAATCAACCTGCTCTGATCACTGCACATTAGGCCTGTATATTTGTTTGAAGCTTTATATATTCGAAAGAAGATTACAGTCTGTTCTCTTAAGTCGTCTGAGGCTAAAGCTGATAAACCAAATGGCCCTATTATGCCACTTCTTGATGCATATTCTTCACCACATAGCAGTTGGGGATCAACCCTTTTAGCATCTAAGGGCTCCGCACTTTCTAATTCGGGTAGCTCAAACTCTGCCTCTACATCAGCCTAAAAAGTTTAGAAGTTAAAAATAATCATTACTAATGTTGTACTTGCTCTGAAAATGTATCAAGAAAATCTAGCATGCACATTGCATAATGCATACCGCAACAGTTTACTCACCTGTGAAGCAGTGATACCTGAAACTTCAAGAATTGATCCACTGATGAGGTTCTCTTGGTTAATACTGAATTTCTTGCCACGTAGTTTTTCTACTTCTTCAATTGGCCATTGTATCAATTGCTTTCCACTCTCATTATCAAGCCAGACCTGTCTAGGAATGGCCTGCATGAACAAATAACATTTACTATTCATTAACACATGATCCTCCTTATCGTAATTATTTGACTTTAGGATATGAATATAACCTCAAAATCAAGTTAATTTTAACAATATCATTTAATCAGCACTCAGCAGAAATGACAAGAAGAAAATACCTATAATTGAACTAGGATACCTGAACACCAGCCCATCCTTTCATAATATCATCTTGTGTGGTGTCAGATTCGTTTACCCAACCCCATAATATCCTCCTGTTCTTGGCATAGTCAAAAAATGACTTGGAAGCATAAAATTTACCATAGTCGTACCTCAAGTCCAAACTAGTTCCTGTAAATTTAGTATCTGCAATAAACTTATCCTGATCAGAGAGATATTTACCAAGAAAATAGTAATCATGTTGTATTCTTAGGTACCCTATCTTCATGACATGCCTAACACTTGGATTTTGAACAGATGTGTCCACCCCATTCGTGCCATTGATGGATACAGGAAAGAAGTCAGGACATTCACATACTCCAGTGTTGTCTGATGCATAAAAAGGGTTAGGATCTACTTTCCAATTAACAAAGTCTTCACTTTGGTAGAGAATAGCCTTTCCTTCATCACCGTTTTGAGCACCAATGATTACTCTCCATTTTCCATCCCTTCCATGCCAAGCAGTTGAAGGGTCTCTAAAATTGTCTACTTCAGCTCCACTAGGTGGAGTTAATACAGGGTTTTGAGTGTGTTTGATCCACTCCCTTAAGAACGGGTCTGATAGATTCTTTGGCATGGCCAAGTTCTGAACTTGATGTTTGTTGTCAGCAATCCCAGTATACATGATTACAGGTTTTTCATCTGGGAGGATTGTGGCTGAGCCAGACCAGCAGCTATTGATGTCATATACCTCACTTGGTTCAATAGCATTGTTTAGATGAATCCAGTTCACAAGATCATAAGACACAGAGTGACCCCATACTATGTTATCGCCAAAGGTTGCTGCATAAGGGTTATGTTGGTAAAAAAGGTGGTAAACTCCTTTGTAGTACATAGGTCCTGTTATAGGTAAATCAACATGTCAAGAGATCGTGATGTTATTTTTTATATCTCATTTCAGTGAATTTGTAATAGCTCTAATCTATTTTAGCAGTTTCAAATTCAAATGAGAAGAAGAGGACAGTATAATTCTTTCTGATTGTATGGATGATAGCCAAACAAATAACTAATCATCAGAAATTTTGCATGCTTACTTACCATTTGGATCTGCATCATGAAGAAATCCATTTTCAAATATTCTTCAACCAAACATGTCAAATGATAGAGATAATAATCAGTTAGCCATAATCAGTGAATTAGAACATGAGATCAGATACTTAAAGAACTAGAAGCTTCAGTGGTGAAAGTGTACATAGACAAAGATTGGAGGGGTCAATACCGTTCATCCAATTCTGTGGGGGCTGAAAGTGATAAGAAGTTCGGTAAGGCTGTTTTTCAGGTATTCTATACTTGGTAGAATCGATGCTATGCGGCGATGCTTCGATTCCAAATCCAGTGTTTGGCAGAAAAATGCAGAACCCCAGTAATACCGGTATTGCAGATATTTGCATGATGCCACTGGAGAAGGGAAAGCAAAGCGTGTCTCAGATAGCTTTTGCCTTTTGGTATGATTGATACTTATATTTACACTTGTTTTTGGTTTGAATCCCGTACGGAAATGCAACAATCATCAGCTTTCCCTTTCTGCTTTTCTTCAACTTTACCGGCTATTTAATATAAATTTTTATTACGCATGTCAATGAAATAAAACTTCAACTTCAATTAAAAAATAACATGAACACCAAATGCCATAATAGTTAAATAAAAACTATCATTCCGCTCGAGCAATTGATTAAGTTTAATAATAATAAAAAGGTGACATGAAACCAGGACACGAAGCCTTCCATTTATTTTATAGTAATGATTACAAATTAGAGATGATAGCTAAGGATTCGATTATTTGATTACAAGATAACTTTCCAGGCGTTTGGCTATGATCAAGCCAAGGTACACTAAGGTCAATATAAACAAAATAAGAGTTTTGAATGCCAATTAACTGTCACCTAACCCAACACTTGATAACCACAAATGCCAAATCGCTACACGTGTCACCAAAACTTCCTCTTAGATTTAGCTCCTCACTTTTAGATGGTATGTAAATGAAAAAGTATTCTCACTAATTAAAATTTTAATGATTAAAGTTATAATTAAATGCTTGATAGTTAAATTTTAATAATTAATTTCTAATTGATTATATGATTCTTTGTTTTATTTTTTAAAGTAAATCTTTGATATTTTATTTTAATAAAAAAATTTAAATTCTTCGTTAGTTTGATTTTTTAAGTGAGAAGATGAATTTTAAAGGATAAAAATTTACTATATGGTTGAATAAAAGTTATAATATATATGGTGTTAATGAACTATTGTAAAAATTTAATTTTGATATATTAATTTTTTATATTGTTATTTAATCATAAACTATCATACGAATAAAAATATCTAATTTTTATAATAATAAATGTAGAATTTATATTTAATATATATTCATAAATATATATGGTTGAATAAAACTATCTATTGTTTTTTTTTTGTCTGGTAGATGTTTAGGCAGTGTACTGTTTTATATTTGTAAGAACAACATATTTTTTTTTCAAGCAAAGCTTTAAATTTCTTGTCAAGTCGAATTAGATTAATGGAATACTTAGCCTTTAAATGAATATAACTGTTGTTTTTTAAATGAATATAAGTTGTTCAATTAATATGGGAGATATAATGATGTACGTGTACGGTTTTTAAATTTTTAAATGAATATAAGATGTTTTCTTCAATTTTTAGATGATTTAACTGATTTAACCCTGTAAATTCTCCTACTTTCAGATTATTTGTAAGAAGATTGGATTTAATAGCTGCAATTTCTAGTCTCCAACTTCAATAATTCTAAAATATATTTTAAAAAATGCAATATTTGAGTAAAAACCACTGAGCCACATAAATTGATGAAATTCTACTCCTTGTTTCACCTTAATCAAATGAATAAAGTGGGCTGAAATTGTTGTATTTCTCTCAAAGTACATTTAAAGTGACATAATTTTAATCCAACCAAACAAAGTGTGAAGAAGCTGATTACCATATTTTTCTTCCCTACATCTGTTCCAAAATCTTTCTCATATCTTCCTTGGCTTCTACTGACTTCAAATTTTCCCCTTCCATTCGCCTAGTAGTCTTTTCTCTTTCTTTCTTATAAAAAAAAAATCACCATATTTTTGTTATTTTTATTTCCATAGCTACTGAGTACATAAATTTGTATACTCATACTTATTATTTGTAATTTATCAATTAAATTATAATTTATAAAAATGTTTTAAATAAAATACAAAATTGTAATAAAAATATTTATTTAAATTTGTAGTTTAATTATATATATACATATATTAAAAAATCGAAAAGTAAAATAGAAATATCCGATTGAAAAAAGGGAAAACGTCACTGAAGGAAGGCTCTGAAAACCTAATGGCTGAGAAGAAAGAAAGCACAAAGAAATTGAGGTGTGAGCGCTGAGAAGTCGGTGAGAACGTGGATCGTTCTTTGGTTAGTGTTTCCGATCTTTCATTGAACACAACACACTTAACCTAACATATTTCCGTGACATGGCTTGGATGCGTTTGATAGCGCAGGTCAGTTATTTCATCAATCATCAATTTTCACCCAACCCTAAATTTTAACACGAGCAAAGATTTATGTGAAGTTTGCATATTTATTGATAACAGATTGTTAGGTTATTTGTTCATTTGAATTAGAAATGGAAGTACTTAGCAGCATAATCGTCGCATTGCCTATCTTTTTGTTCTTTTGCTTCATGGGAACAGAGTATCGGAAACCATGCATTGGGCAAGAATGAATTTGTCGAGAACTAGTGGATGTTAAAAATAATATTTGTTTTGATGTTGGATGTGTATTGAGATTCACTATCTCTTAAGGTAAGACACCAACAATAACAAGATTTTTTTGTGGGCCTCAACACTCAGTGAAGGGCTGTTGCAAAATTATTTTCAGTTACATCCCTTGATTGTAATTCTTGGCAAATTTGCATATATTTAAATAAGAGACGATCAAAGAACCATAGGTAGCTACTTGCTAGTGTCATATAAGTTATGCATAATGCATGCAAGCGATCAACTATTGCTTAAATTTACACGAAGCCAATTTTCATCTATTATAGGTATCTTGTATTAGATTTATTTGTTATATAATTTTGTAATTTTTTTACAGGTCGCAAGGCATCAATCAGAATTTGGACAGGTCAGAAGTTTGTTGGCTAGAAGCTATTTATCGGTTAATAAGCTTGAAGGTAGTACAACTACAAAACCCTTGTTCCTATAGTACATTTAGTTTGTACAATGTGTTTCTATAAGTTCTTGTTCGTGTATCTCTAGTTTACTGTAACTTTGTTTTTCTGAATTATTTTAGTTTGGAGATTAACTTTTAAAATTTTATTTTGCTGTAGAATTTTTTAGACGTTATAATTGTCTCTTTTCTAGATTTAGGTTTTGGGAACCAAGTAAGTGCTGGTCTTTAACCTATCATCTGTTGCATCCACTTTCAAAACCCTGCAGGAAATAGGCTTTTCTGCTCCCAGGAAAGATTCCAGTCCAGCTATGTTGGCAATCTGGCCCGTCGAGTACGTGATGCAAATGAATCTTGTGAAATTGCTCATCTCAAGGAACTTTACCATCGAAATGATCCTGAAGCTGTTATTAGAGCATTTGAAAGTCAGCCATCTCTCCATACTAATCCTTCGGCACTTTCTGAATACGTTAAAGCATTAGTGAAAGTTGATAGACTGGATCAAAATGAGTTACTCAAGGCTTTGCGAAGAGGTAAATATTTGACTAGAACTGCTCATTTTCGTTTGACTGGATTTGCATATGATTGTACTTTGCCTTGTTTGTCTCATTTGTTTTCAGCAATGGCTTGGTGACTTGCTAACCTTGCTCAAGGAAATGGAGTTTTTCTTTCACTCCAAGTATAAACTAGGCATTTGCTTGTCAAGCTGAGTTAATTACTACCCTGTCTAAAGGAAGAATTTGTTTTTGGTTGTGGCCTAAGTAAAATGTCTTAAGGAGTAAAATGTCTTAAGGCATGGATTTATTTGCATTGCATTGAGAATCATAACTCACTGGATATTAGGATTTGGGGTAACGTTTTTTTAAATGCATATAGTAAATAGAAATACTTTTGATCTTCTTCCATTGACTGTGAACTCTCCAATGCTAAATTTTGAGGGAAATCGTTTTGGCATTTTTTTTTTTTTGTTAGTTGAATTATGGTATCATTATATTAATGAAACAGCAAAGCCAACTAGTATATATGTCAGTCCCTGATCTTGTTTTCCTGCAAACCAGTGAAAGTCATTATCTAGAATGGTTTACGGTTAATTATTTTCTATTGGTTGACATTTATCATAGTCTTTTGGTGGGAATTGTGAATTTCAAATTTCAATTGATGTCTTCCACTGTTAATCATTTTAAAGAAAAGATACTTTACGTTAATCTGTGCTATAGTGCTGCAAGCGTGCAATCACAATCTCGATGTCTCTTTTGACCTTTAATGAGGTGCTATGACCTGTATTATTTCATATAACTTAATTGCAATAATAAAATGATGGAAGGATGCCAACCAAAATCTTCTGTAGAGCTACTTAGGAGTCTGCAATTTTTATTTGAAAAAAAATTACATTTCAATCTTATACTTTCTTTAATCAAATTTGTTGTTCCTGTTCTTTGTTCAATCAGGTTATTTTCACATCTATTTCTTTAGTACAATTTACAGATAGAAGTTTTGACGAAGCAATGTCTGTGAATTTTCAGGTATTTCTAATTCAGTCAGGGAAGAAGAAAGTATTGGTGGCTTTTCTACTCTTAGAAATGCTGGAAACCCTACAAAAGATGAAATTCTTGGAACTGCAAGTGCTCCTATTCATATGGTGACTGCAGAAGGTGGGAATTTCAAAGTGCAGCTATGGCGTACAATCAGGTCCATTCTGGTGGTTTTCCTCTTGATTTCTGGTGTAGGAGCAATCATTGAGGATAAAGGAATTAGTAAAGGTATGGTCTTGTCATTGTAATGTTAACCTATGAGCTTCTCAGATTAATTCATTGAATCTGAATTTGATGGGAACATTCTCTATTTTGCTTTTCATCTTTCCTAGGACTTGGTATGGATATAGAAGTACGGCCAATTATGGAGTCGACTACTAAATTTAATGACGTAAAAGGTGTTGATGAAGCAAAGGCAGAACTGGAAGAAATTGTTCACTACCTCCGAGATCCTAAGGTAGATTTCTCTCGCATTTATCTTGCATGGACGTCTTGCACTCCAGCATGAGTGTTCAAACTTTTATGTGGTGGAAGAGCAATTTCACCAGTATCCATTACATGTGTCCTAATCGGCTGTGATCAGGTTGATTACTCCATTTGATTGCTAATATAGTGCCACCATAAGTATTGTTACTGTTTGGGTGTGGAGATGCCCGTACAAAGGTGCTACATAAATCCTAATGTTGTTGATGAGGGATGTACCATTTAATTAAAACATGAATAGGAAATAGTTGATGAGAAGTAAGTTTCATTGCTTTGGATTGTAAGATCTAAATGACAACTGTTGTGCATGCTGTTAACTTTGGTTCCTTAACTTTCAACATGTCTGTAATCAGTAAAATATTAGTTTGTGATGGAGTAAACTGGAATAGTGTGTTTTGGATTTTATTTCAGCATGATATCTTATTTTAATACTTGTTTCTCATCTGCTTAATAGTTAATGTCTCCATTGGTTGAGGATTTTTTACAAGAAACTGAGGGCCAATTTGGATGACGTTCATCATATGTGCTTAGAATGACCTCTGTCCTACTTAGAACCTAATTATGTTTGACTCCACTTGATGTCATATCCCATTTTTCATACAGGTGTATTTTCCTGTTCTATCTTCTGATGACTAATTTCCCTGGTGACAGCGCTTTACTCGTCTTGGTGGCAAGCTACCAAAAGGTGTTTTGCTTGTTGGCCCACCTGGCACTGGTAAAACAATGTTGGCAAAGGCTATTGCTGGAGAGGCTGGGGTTCCTTTCTTCTCCTGCAGTGGCAGTGAATTTGAAGAGATGTATGTTGGTGTTGGTGCACGAAGGGTGAGAGAACTTTTTTCTGCTGCAAAAAAGCAATCGCCTTGTATAATCTTCATTGATGAGATTGATGCGATTGGAGGAAGCCGAGATCGAGAGGACAAAATGTACTTGAGAATGACATTAAATCAGTTGCTTGTTGAACTAGATGGATTCAAGCAAAACGAAGGCATTATTGTGATTGCAGCTACTAATTTTCCAGAGTCACTAGATAAGGCTTTGGTGAGACCAGGGCGATTTGATTGTCATGTTGTTGTTCCCAATCCAGATGTAGAAGGAAGGCGACAGATTTTGGAATCTCACATGTCAAAGGTAACTTGGTCTTTGTCAATCTTGGTCTGCTGCATCTTCTTTTATTTTCTTAAGAACATGTTACAAGCTTGTTATGCTGGTTTTCTTTGTTCAATATAATGCGGTACAGGTTTTGAAGGCTGATGATGTTGATCTTATGATCATTGCTCGAGGTACACCTGGGTTCTCTGGTGCTGACCTTGCAAACTTGGTTAATGTTGCTGCTCTCAAGGCTGCAATGGATGGTGCTAAATCTGTGACCATGAATGATTTAGAGTTTGCAAAGGACAAGATTAGGATGGGAAGTGAACGCAAGTCTGCTGTTATATCTGAGGAGAGTAGAAGGATGACTGCTTTCCATGAGGGCGGCCATGCCTTAGTGGCAATTCATACTGATGGAGCACTTCCTGTTCACAAGGCAACTATAGTTCCTCGTGGGATGGCTCTTGGCATGGTTTCTCAATTGCCTGACAAAGATCAGACCAGTATCTCACGCAAACAGATGCTTGCCCGGCTTGATGTTGCCATGGGAGGCAGGGTTGCTGAAGAGCTTATTTTTGGAGATAGTGAAGTTAGTACTGGTGCATCATCAGATCTTTCACAAGCAACTAGTTTGGCTAGGGCAATGGTTACTAAATATGGTATGAGTGATGAAATTGGACTAGTCACTCACAATTATAATGATAATGGGAGAAGCATGAGCTCAGAAACTAGGCTGCTTATTGAGAAAGAGGTGAAGAACTTGCTAGAGAGGGCTTACAACAATGCAAAAACTATTCTGACCACCCATCATAAGGAGCATCATGCACTTGCAAATGCTCTTCTGGAGCACGAGACACTTACAGGAAGTCAGATAAAGGCATTACTTGCAAATGTAAGGTCCCAGCAGGAGCAGGAGCAGGAGCAGTCGCCTCAAACAGTTGAAGCTCAGGGAAGTTCACAGCCGAATTCAGCTGCTGCTGCTGCAGCTACTGCTGTGGCCAAGGCTCAAGGTGTTTCCCCAGTGTGATCATTGCGGGAGAAGACAGTGGTGACTGGTGACACATGCTTCTGAATAACTATTGTGGGATTGAAATGTGCAGATGGTAACTTATTCAGTGTTTTTTAAGGTTCATGTGGTTCCACTTTAGCAAATGGTGTTATGACTGGGTTTTGAGTGTGTTTGACCTGTTCCTTAAAGATTCATGTGTTTGAGGGTCACTTGTTAGCAATCCCAGTACAACAGATTTTTCATCTAGGAGGATTGGGTCTGAGGCCAGACCAGCAACTATTAATGCATATAGCTCACTTGGTTCAACCGCATTGTTTAGATGAATCCAATTGACGATATCATAGGACACATTGATTAGTCATGAGATCGATATTTTGGATCTCATGTCACTGAATCCAGACTAGACCCGAATGTGCCACTGAGATTGTAATAATTCAAATTTTATTGGTGACAATAGCAACGGATTGAATGTTTACTTCTCTAAACAATCTATTTTAGCAATTTCAAATTGATATGAGTTGAATAGGACAGTTATAATTCTCTCTGATGTCTACGCATGTTAGAATTGTAGGTATGAGTTCTAAACAAAAAACAAATAATCAGATAAATTCTCGAGCTTATAACAAAAAAATAAAATAAAAAATCTTAGAGCTTACTTACTCATTTGGATCTGCATAATGATAGAGAAAATAATTAGTTAGCCATAGCCAATAAATTAGACATATAATATCGTTATACCCATCACTTTAAATCTATACCATAACTTCCAAAAGACCGATTAAGGTTAAGATTAAATGTTTGAATTTAAACAATTAAAATTTTTATGAAAAATATCAATAGATGTTAAATAAGGTATTATAATTAGTTTTATTATTTAATTTGATGTGTCATTTTTATATTATAGATATAAATATTCTTTTCATTTTTAAAATGTTAGATAAATTACAATTATCAGTTTAAAGAAGGTATACAATATTTTTTTTAAGTTTAAGGATACTAAGCATCAATACAAAATTTGATTAAAAAAAAAAGAACAAAAGTCAACTGATTTGTTAATAATAAATTATTAAAAAATAGAAAAAAAAAAAAGAAAAGCATAAAAGTTAAGGTCTTTTTGTTTTCTATTTTTAAAAATAGTTTTTTTTTAAATTATTTATTAATATAAGTTCTTAAAAGCTATTTTTTTTAAAAAAATATTTTGATTTTTAATATAATTCGTAATAAATTTTATTTTTATTTTCTTTTAAAAAAATTAAAAATTGTTTTAAAATATAATTTTTAAAAATTGGAAAAAACAAACAAACAAATTGACCCTAAATTTAAGTGTAACGGCCATTTAAAACAATGTTGTATGAACTTTGAACGCTATAAACTCGATCCTTCTTTATGTTGCTTTTCCAATCTTTTTTAACACTCACTTATACGAACTTAACCTAACCACCTATTTTGTCGGATGGCTTGGAGTCGTTTGATAACGCAGGTCAGTTATTTCATCAATCAAACCCGCACGCCACTGATTCTAACCCAACCTTTTCACCTATAATCTTTATGGAGAATCATAAATTTGATTCCTTTTCTTTTGGGGGTGTGAGGGTGATTCAGTATCAAATGTAAAGAAGATATTCATAAAAGGATTTCAAATCTTCAAAGTAAGCATCAATCAAAATATATGCTTATGCACCTTAATTCCCAGTGAAATTAAATGCTGTTGCATTTTATTTTATTTTTTTTATCCTTGAAACTGAGACAAATAAACACTTACATTACATCCCATATCCGTAGTCATGAAAATTTGCATATATTTGAATAAGAGGAGATTATAGTACCATCTGTTGTTAGTCCCTAGTGTCATGTAAGTTATGCATGCGTGATCAATGATGGCTTATATTTACGTGAAGCCAGTTTCCATCTATTGCATGTTCTTGTATTAATTATTTTAGTTTGTCAAATAGTGGTTTTATGATTTATTTTTACAGGTTGCGAGTCATCAATCAGAGTTTGGACGGGTTAAAAATTTGTTGGCTAGAAGCTATGTTTCGATTAAGTTTGGACGAAGTTCAAGTACAAAATCCTTATTACTATGACACATTTAGTTTATACTGTGCTCCTGTTTAAAGTAACTTTGCTTTTCTGAATTATTTTACATCGGGGGGTTTTTACTTATCATTTGTTGCACCAACTTTTAAATTTCTATAGAACGCTCCCAATCCAGCAACGATGCTGAAGCTGTTATTAGAGAATTTGAAAGTCATCCACATCTCCATACTAATCCTTCGGCACTTTCTGAATATGTTAAAGCATTAGTGAAACTTGATAGACTGGATCAAAGTGAATTACTCAAGACTTTGAGAAGAGGTAATAATTTGGCTAAAACTGCTCATTTTCTGTTGACTAGATTTGTTTACGATTGTACTTGGCTTTGCTTATCCATATTTCTTGTCAACAATTGCTTCATGACCCATTAACCTTTCTGTCCATGTTTGCTCTCCCAGAGTTAATTCTTTTATTAGAAAGCTGAGTTAATTTCTACCTGTCTAAAGGAATATTTCTCTTTAGCTAGTTGTGGCCTAAGTAAAATGTCTTAAGCCATGGATTTAATTTAGTTGCGCTGGGAATCTTAACTCACTAATATTAGAATGTCGGGTTAAACATTTTTTTCAATGCATTAAGCGTGCAGTTTTTTTATTAAGAAAAATATTTAATACAAATACTTTTTGATTAAAATCATTTGGTATTGCCTTCTTTTTTTTTGCAGGGTAAATTTATAGTATCGTTATATTATTGCAAAAGCAAAGCCAACTGGTTTATATGTCGGTCCCTAATCTTATTTTCCCTCAAACCAGTGAAAGTCTTAATCTAGAATGGTTTACAGTTAAATATTTTCTTTGCTTATTGACAACGATCCATTTGTCGGGTTGCATCGATCATAATCTTTTGTTGGGGTTCATGAATTTTTATAGTGGATGTCTTCCACTATTAATTATTTTAAAGAAAAGAGACTTACTTTTGCCAATCCTCATACTTCTTTTGACCTTTAATGTATGGTGCTACGACGTATTACATTATAAAAGTTACGGGACAAAATTTATATATAGTATCGTGTACATAGACTATTGGTGTTATTTTTGCATTAGAATTAGAATTTCATTTCAAGTATAATAAAAATTATTATAAAAGTAAAATTTCAATTTTAATTAGATTACAACACCAATAATGCCCATTACAATGCGTAAGCACGTTAAGTTTTGTCTTCAAATGAAATGATAAAATGATGGAAGACTATAAGCCAAAATCTTCGGTAGAGCTACTTAGGAGTAGTATGCAATAGTTAAAATTTAACATGTTAATCATATATACACTTGTCTCAAATTTGTTATTCCTCTTCTTTCATCAACCAATGCTCTTTGTATTTGACATTTATTTCTCATGGGCAATGTATACTAGAAGTTATAAACCAAGAGATGTCTGAATTTTCAGGTATTTCTAATTATTCAGTGAGGGAAGAAGAATTTATCGGTGGCTTTTCCGGTTTTAGAAACATGGGAAAACCTATTGAAAGTGGAATTATTGGAACTGCAAGTGCTCCTATTCATTTGGAGTCGGGTCATTGGAGTTTCAAAGGGCAGCTATGGCAGACAATCAGGTCCGTTCTAGTGGTTATTCTGACAATAACAGGAATAGCAATGATTAGGCATTATGAAGAAGTTGAAGAACAACGCAAAGAAGAACGTAAAAAAGAAGTTGCTCGTAACGGTAAGGTCTTTGTCACTGTAACCTGTGAGCTTCATAGATCAATTCACTATGGATTCTGAATTTTTACCTTTATTAGTACCGGTTGCTCAGGATGTGACGTTGCGGCCAATTGGAAGACCAAGTACTAGATTTAGTGATGTAAAAGGTGTTGACGAGGCCAAGGCAGAATTGGAAGAAATTGTTCACTACCTCCGAGATCCTAAGGTAGATTCTCTGCCATAAATTCATATGCTCTCTTGCATAGATGTCTTACAGGAGTGTTCAAACCACCATGCACCCCTATAAAAAAATAAAGTGAATGGCTGAGTCATACCTGGGTAAGCAACTCTCCTCAAACAATTAACACTGCTGAGACCTCTACACTAAAACAATATCTCCACCGTTTGAGGTCAAGGATAAGAACAGGTCTTGAAAAGCCAATACAAAGTTTCAAAACAGCAATAAATCTTAGTGTTGTTGACTAGAGATGCACCACTTAATTCAATCATAAAATAGCGAACAAATTGATGAGAAATCCGTTCCATTGCTTGTGTAGTAAGAACTGACTAACTCGGAAGTTGTACATACTCTTAGTCCTAGGTTTCCTATTAGATTGTTCTTTGTCAATATTCGTTTAGTTACTTTAAGTTCCTTAGCTTTCAACATGCAGTCCAATGTCAAAATATGCATCCGTGCTAATGCTAAGTCTTCACGTGCAAAATACTGTTTACTATGCTTTGCTGGTGCAAACTTGGATAGTAGGTCCGGGATTGTACTTCAGCCTGATAATTATTTTAATACTTGTTTTCCAGCTGTATAATAGTTACTGCTTCCATTGGCAGTGAATTTTGATATATTAAGTTGAAATAGGTGAAAATCTTTATCGAAGAAGTTTAGATAAAACATTAAAAAAATTGAAAAATTGATAATTTGCTGACTTTATCTTAGTTTTAAATATCATGATTATTTATAAATATCATTCATCATTATATTTAAATTGTTTAATATTATAATATTTACAATATTTTAGAATTATATCTTCTAGAATTATTTTATAAATAAAAGATATAAATAAATTTTTTTGAATTATTCTTAATATTTTGTTAAACTATTCTAAAGTTTTGTATCATACTTCTCTTTGATACAAATTTTTGTAATTTTAAGTATTGTGCACAAGTGTTCAAATTTTGATTGTGGTAGTATTCTAGTAAAAATGCTTGTAATGCAATACTTGAACTTTGAAGTTCAAGAGATTGTTCCTAAGCCTAGTAAAAAAATATATAATAAGACCTACTTTTCATTTTATCGATCAATCCTGCCTAGTTATTATCGGTATAGTCAAGTAACTTCGAGTTATTCATTATTTGGTAGCATATAACATATTCTTTTGTGCCTTGTAAATATCTTATAATTCTTTTTACTGTTCTAAAGTGAATTTGCCTTGAGTTTTGTATGAATCTTGAAAGAAGAATTATAATATACAATATGGATGGTCATGTTGATGTAAGATACAGTAAGTTTTTTGGTCAAACTTTTGTAGCATGATGCATCAACTTTTGATACTTCATCATTTTTCTTCAATTTCTCATTTATTACTAGTGAAGTTTCAACAATTTTATAGCCATTCATCTTTAATTTCTTAAGCAATGCTTTAATATATTTATTTTGTGAGGTAAATATTCATTCTTTCTTTTGTTTTACTTCTATACCAAGGAAGTAATTTATTAAGTCAAGGTTGGTCATTTTAAATATCTTCATTATATCTTCTTTGAACTTAGCTATCATATTCATATTGTTTCCTGTGCAGATAAGA